CATGTTCTTTGTGTATATAAATCTCCCCACTGTATTTTCCACATCCGATGAAGTGAGCTGTAGCTCACAAAAGTTATGCTCAAATAAATTTGTTAGCTCCTAAGGTGCCACAAGTACTCCTTTTCTCATTTTTATTGTGGCACTAAATTTCAGTGACGGACAGCTTGGTTCAGTTGACAGATATGGCTGCATTATAATATCCAGAATGCGAATTTAAAGGGAGCCATACACACTCTAATCCTGTGGCAGGAGGTGATCCGTGATGAGGGACTGTAGGACACCTCTTAGATAGCTATCTGTCTTAGGTACTTACCCGGCCCTCATTGCTAGGAGCCCAGTGCCTCCCATTCTTTAATGCAGTGGTTCTCACACTATTTACTATTGTGGGCCACATATGCAGCTCTGAATGTGTTATGTGGGCTGCATCCACACAATATATATCCTACAGTAACTCCTCACTGTCCTGGTTAATGTTAAGAATGTGCTCGTTTAAGGTTGCACAATACTCCCTCATAACATTGTTTGGCAGCCACCTGCTTTGTCCACTGCTTGCAGGAAAAGCAGCCTGTTGGAGCAAGCTGGTGGGGGGCATGGAACTAGGGTGGGCCGGCAGCCCCCCTACTAGCTCCCCTAAGTTCCCTGTGCACAGCCCAGCAGGCTATCAATTGCCGGCAGTTCAGATGTCCCTCCCCCTTCTGCTGTGTGCTGTTCCTGCCCTCTGCCTTGGAGCTGCTCCTGGGCGCCGCCTCCTTGCTGTGCAGGGGGTGGGAGAAGGGGTGTTGATGTCAGGGTATCCATGCCCCCACTTCTGTACCGCATCTCCACGGAGCAGGAGGGGATATGACAGGGCTCAGGACAGAGGGAGCTTGCTGGCAGCAGCTGCTGTCTCAGCTTGCTGATCTTCTTAAAAAGGCAGTGTACTTAGAGTGTGGCCAGCATACTTAAAGGGGCAATGTGTGTCTGTCTCTCTCTCACTCACACATGCTGTGTGTCTGTCTGTCTCTCTTTCTCTCTCAGACACGCACATGGTGTGTGTGCCTGTCTCATGGACCCTCCCCACCCCCGGTACTTTGGAAAGTGGAGGGAGTGGTGTGCTTTAATGGGATAGCATGGGTGGTTCATCACGTTCAGTTTCTGCAGGGAATGTTTGAAGCCACTGCCATGGGTCTGTTGTGTCTCCTCCCTCCATTCATGTTGCCTTGTACAACATTTACAACAATGTGTTAACCCTTGGGGGCTTAGCCAGGTGCTAGTTCGTCATTTAGCAGTAAGGCATTCCCTGGGAAATATTCCACCCTCTGACTCCACCACTTCAACCAAGCTTCACAATCATCATTGCTGTGTACAGTATTCAATTGTTTGTTTAAAACTTTATTGTGTGTGTGTGTGTATGTATGTATGTGTGTGTATGTGTTATATATATATATATATATATATATATATATATATATATATATACATACACACACATATATTTATCCCCTCTTCCCCCCCAGAACCTAACCCCCTCCCTGTTTACATTAATTCTTATGGGGAATTGGATTCGCTTAATATCGTTTCGCTTAAAGTAGCATTTTTTCAGGAACATAATGACAACATTAAGCGAGGAGTTACTGTACCTGTATGGCCCTGAGGAGGTCACATGAGCCGCAGCTGTGTGCTGATTGGGTCGCCGATTGAGAACCACTGCTTTCATGTTTTTATCCACACAGCCACCTCTGTGAGGTAGAACCCTGCTCTTATCCCCACTTTACAGTTGGGGAACTGAGTCACAGTGAGACTAAGGGCTAGTCTACACTAGAAGCACTACAGCGGTGCAGCTGCACCACTGTAATGCATCTGGTGAAGATGCTCTATGCCGATGGGAGGGAGCTCTCCTGTTGGCATAATAAAACCACCTCTGCAAGAGGCAGTAGCTATGTTGATGGGGGAGAGAGAGCACTGTCTGCACTGGCATTTAGGTCAGTGAAACATATTGCTTATTCACACTCCTGAGTGACATCAGTGGTAGTGTGTACAAGCCCTAAGTACCTGGCCCAAGATCACACAGGACATCTGTGGTAGAGCAGGGAATTGAGCCCATGTCCCAGGCTAGTATCCGCACCGTTGTACACAAAGTAATGCCACCTTCCTCAGGTGCTCAAAGCGTTTGAGCTTTCATTGTTCTGCAAACTCCTCTAAGCCCAGAAGAACCTGAAGGCAGTGTGTGGGGAAGGTTCACTTTCGCCTTTTAAAACGATACGGAAACCCTGGCTGCATAGAGCTTTGAACAGAATTTTAATGACCACGCTTAATACCCTGGTCCAGAGAGTAACTTGAACCTGGCTGTGACAGTTTGATCCTGTCCATTTCTATGAGTACCCTCTTAAGCAGTTTTTTCGGCTTGGTTCAGAACCTTGAATCGGATTTGTAATTTAGACAATCTTTTCAGGGATGTTCCTATAAGTAAAAGTTCAGTAAAAGGTACTGGATATTAAGCAGTAAGAGCTGCCTTTTTTTTTTATTTCAGTGTTAAGGAGAATTTGGAAGGACAGAAAGCTAAATACGGTGGCTGCATTTCAAGCAGGCTTGGATAATTCTGAGAGTGGTGGTTGTGGCTTTCCGCAATTAGATAATGAAAATCCATTCTCACGCTCAAGGAGGGAGATATGGAATTGCCTGAGGGGGGTGTTTAAGAAAAAATTCTCTTCCTCCGCTCGCATGGGCAGTGTTTCATAACTAAGTGCGCACAGCTTTTCTTTTGCATTCCTCTGAAGCATTAGGTGTTCATGGCCAGAGGCACAGTATATGGGACATGATGGACAATTAGCTTGATAGGACAGAGCAGTTCCTTTGTGGCAAGAAAACAAATCCGGGGGCCTAGTTTTGGTCACTCTGACTTTAGTTGGATTGGAACCAGCGACCCCAAGATTAAAGGAGTTTCTCATTGCCCTATCCCTGAGCTAATTCTGTGTTCATGTCATTCCAAGTATGTGTTTTTGAGCAGCCTGTGCAGTTAATGAAGAGAAGGGGACTGGTCCCTTCAGATGAGACGTGCTCTGTCTGGAGCCTGCAGCCCAGTTCCAGTGCATCTGGGCTGATTAGCGGGGATGCAGCTTGGACTGTTCTTGTTTATACAACTGGATGTTTCAGATACCAAACCCTGACAGAGACTATTCCGTTGACACCATCTATGGAGGCTTGCTGCTAAATTTAATTCTTATCTGGGAGAAAAACAGCTTTTCCCCCCCCTCCCCAGAACTGGAAGAAAAAACAAAACAGCTATGTTTGGATTTTATTTGACTACAAAACAAATGCCTTTAAAAACTGGTAGCCAGGTGTGGTCTGTTGTCTCTTGGGCTATCCTTGGAACAGAACTTAGCAGAGCTTGACTGTCCAGTGTGTGTTGTTGAGAGAGCAATAACATTTGCAGTTCTTAGAGACCACTTAGTGTCAAGAGTTTCAAACCTTCCGTTTTTTTACATTGGGTTTATTTCCTAATTTAAATATTTGCTCTAACTCAGCTGTTAGTTATGGGACTAGATACAGAAATTATTGGATTAAATTCTCTGGCCAGTGTTGTGCAGAAGGTCAACAAGGTGATCATAGTGGTCCCTTGAGGCCTTAAAATCTATTAAAGCTGCTTTCTGTTTGCTGCCTGATTGGAACAATGCACAATACTCATTATAAAGCTTTGCTTCCCTAACCTTGGACCTCCTTAGATTTGTGCTTTAAATCGAAAGCGACAAGTTCATCTTCCAGGGACCTATCTAGCAATGAACATTTTGTGAGGGTGAAGAATTGTAGTAAATAGTAAAGCCTATTTTGAAAATTACAGCAGGCGTATTAGTATTAAAAAAATTATCAAAAACTGATCATTGATTTAAAATCGAATGGGCGTTTCGCTATCAATAAATCTTTTACTTTTGGGACTTCACATAGGTTGGAGAGTGAAACTAAACTGGTCAATAGAGCTGATATTTTTCTATCCAGGGGCCAAACTGAAAAGTGTGTGTGTGGGGAAAATTGGATCGGTTCAACCCGTAACTGATTTTTTTTTTTTGCACCGAAATGAAAAAAATTAAAACATTTATTTCAACCCAAAACAAAATGTTTTTGGTATTTTTTGCTTTTTGGGTCATTTGGGAGGGTTGAGGTTCCCCCTTTTCTTTTGTTTTTTAGAAAAAAAAATTAGAAAAATTTCTAAATGAAATACAACTTTTGATTTTTGGAAAGATACTTCTTAAAAAAAAAAAAAAAATTCCAGCTGAATCTGTTAGCTGAATTTGCCCTGAATTTGCTAATAGTTTTGGGTGCCCTGAAAAATGGACTTTTTGGCAAATTTACTATTTGCTGAGAAAATTTCATCCATCTCTACTGATCAGATCTATTCAGTTCTCTTGCACTGGCATACCTCAAGGTAGTGTTTGGCTTCCCAGCACTGCAAGTGAAGTGTTAAATTGCAAATCCTATTTCCGCTGCCATAAAACTGAAACCAGTTCCATTCATCAGGAGGATCCAATCCCCCTTTTTATTTACTTTATTTTTTGCAAAACCTACAATTTGGGAGCTAAATAGGTATTGGCTCAAATTCATGACTGGTGGAAGTCACTGAAGGGACATGGGATGTCAAACCGCATGATATTAGGCAGCTTCAGCTAATAATGTTGTAAAGGGAGTAAATAAGAAGAGCCACGTTGTTTTCACACTTTTTTAGGCTGATCCTGGCTTGGTTTTAAGAAAAGGAGTACTTGTGGCACCTTAGAGACTAACCAATTTATTTGAGCATAAGCTTTCGTGAGCTACAGCTCACTTCATCGGATGCTGTAGCTCACGAAAGCTTATGCTCATGCTTATGCTTATGCTCAAATAAATTGGTTAGTCTCTAAGGTGCCACAAGTCCTCCTTTTCTTTTTGCGAATACAGACTAATACGGCTGCTACTCTGAAACCTGGCTTGGTTTTGCGGCTTCTTAGGGACATCTGCCTTGTTTATAGCCTTATTGTTTTTTCCCTTCCCAGGAATGGCGTGAATGTAGAAGGGGCAACGCACAAGCAGGTGGTGGACCTGATTCGAGCGGGAGAGAAGGAGTTAATACTGACAGTGTTATCCGTTCCGCCCCATGAGGCTGATAACCTCGACCCCAGCGATGACTCTTTGGGGCAGTCGTTCTATGACTACACTGAAAAGCAAGCTGTGCCCATCTCCATCCCCACATACAAACATGTGGAGCAGAACGGCGAGAAGTTTGTGGTTAGTATTGGCTTGAGCATGCCTTGTGGAGTCCAGGATTGGTTTGTTTTCCTGCTGATCAGGTTCTAAGCTGTCAGAGTTTTCAGAGAGGCCTAGTTTTTAATCTGATCCCTGGATTCTGGTTGCCAGACCCTCTCCCTCAACCCCAAAGAGGCTGTAATACTGACCATATCTTGGAACTCCAACTCCCATTATTTTCTTTAATTTTAGTGCATGTAAAAGGTGATTAACGGTCCCATGTATGAAGGCCTCTGATTCATAGAGCAGCAGTAGTGTGAGTTTTCCTCTGTATGTGGTTTTGAGAGGTTGAGAAGGACCCATCATAACAGAGGAACCTCTTCTGGGGCTGAGATGACTGTGGCCTCCATGGTTTATTCAGTCCCTTGGCTTCTCTGCGGAGTCTGCCAGCAAGGAAGCCAATTAGTGCCTGTTATAATGGTGTTTTTTTGATGCCAACATGTTCCTGTTGGGATCAGGACTGGGACCAGCTCATTCGTGATGCTCGTTATTTTCAAAGGTATGTTACTTACACTGGCCCAAGCTTACTCTTTTTCTGAACTGCGTTATCTGTCAGTTTCTAACCAGTTCATACAAGTGCGGTAGTTCTGAGCAGTGGGTCCCAGAGGGAGACCTTGACAAATGGCCTTTGGTTGACACTTTCTATTCAGTACCATCAGTTAGCTCGTATATGCATCTATATCCTGTTTTATATTAAGTGCCTGGAACATCTGTAATCAGTACCTAAGGAGTATGATCATTTAAGAAAAACTCTCCTCTCATGCTTGTGTCCCTACAGCTTCCCACGTAGCAGAGTAAAATTGGCAGTGATTGTACTGGTTTCACTCTGCTGCCTTTCCTGAGAATGTGCTGTGTGTATGAGTGATCCTTCACTACTGTTCAGGGATGGGGTCAAAGATTTCACATACAGGTGTTTAAGGTGGCCTGATTTTCACAGTTGCTGAGCATCTGCCACTCCCACTTAATTCAGTGGGAGCTGTTTACATGTTCAGTACTCCTGATAAGCAGGCTAAGTGTGTAACCTCTGTGCTATAACAAATGTTAAGATTGTGTATTTCTTTCCCTTTCTGTTCTCATTAGTTAGGGATCAGCTGTAGAAAGTACCACTTTCTTCCCGGGTGGAAGACCCTGCCTGGCTGCATTCACTGTGGGAGCTGGCGGTCATTCTTTCAAATAACATGGTCTGTCTTGAAACTGCCGCCTAAGCAGATGCATCCTCTGAGGCTTGCTATTGACTCTGGCTTATCATGGGTGCCTGGCTGCAGCTTGGACTGGAATGCACTAGCTATTTTGCATGTTTCCATTCTGGTTCCCTTCTCCCAGAGATGTAGAGAGGGGAAAACCTAATTTGAGTTGTGGATGATTAAAGTACGCACTTCCCCTTCAGTGTTAAATTTTGAAAAATAATCTAATTCCTGCAGATCACCAAATAAACTTCTGTTTTTTTCTCTTGGTGGCAGTTAAAGTTTACTTACTGATTGTTGTTGTTAGTTTGAATCAATTGGGAAAAATCTGTTAGTCATCTTTCCTCCCAAAGACTGGTGCTGGCTGTTGCAGGCAGCTAGGCTGCATGTATTTCCATCTAGTTGTGTTGCTGGCATTTGCTGTGCTTCGAATTGAGAACATACCACTGACTCCCAGAGCAGTAAGAGCTGGGGAAGGGGGTAGAATCGGTTAAAGATTGCTTGTAGTCAGAACGGTGACGGTGTAAAAATGGCACCATCTTACCAGACTCAGCTCCTTGTGTGTCTGAGTCATGTCTATAGACGTGACTCTCACACATTTTCACTCCTGTTAGCACTTCAGAGCCCATAGAGCTTTGCCAATGCACATCCGCAGCATCTGCTGCTGTTCCCATTCTGGGGCCCATGCATCTTTGCCAATGCACCTCAATCCTTTCCTCAGCACCCCTGCAATTCTAGTAACACACCCAGAAGCTTTGCCTGTTCACCCCTACAACTATCACCTCAATCTTGGTCTGCAACATCCCTGTTTTTGCAGCTCTGGGATCCCTACAAGCTCTGCTGATGGACTTCAATCCTGGTCCTCAGTCCCACCTGCCATTCCAGTCCCAGGCTGTTTTTGAATACTCGTCCAATTGCTCCTGAATTGTGAGAGTGAGTCTGATACTTTCATGATGTGAGATCAAACTCGTTCTCACTTTTGAGCCATCCTATCAGATCACGCGTGAGAGGTTGGACCTGCCACGTTGCAGAGACCCGTGGTCATAGTAATTTTACCAAGAGCAAATGGAGACATGAATGTTCTTGGGCACCGCTCCTGTAACGTTCACCTAGAGCATGGCTGAGAGGGCTTCAACCTGCCAGAATTAAAAGTGAGGCATCTATTACAAGCAGAATAATGGCTGGGAAGCAACACAGAGAATGACCTAAAACTGTTGACTGGATTAGGCAATTTACACTGAGAATCTCATTTTAATGGCTTACAGGTCCCAAAGTGGAATTCTGGGCATGTTCCAGTGATATTAATTGGCCAGGCCTCATCTAGGCCATTTTACTTGACTCCTTTGGTTGTGTTTTATGTTCCCTAAGTGCCTCCGTAGTAAACTTGTTGAGGTGTGTCCTGTACTCCATCCGTTGGGGCCAGAGCCCTTCAGCACCATTAGCCTTAGTGGTGATTTGCGTAGCTTTGAGAACATACCTGTTGGGTTTGAACCATGAGAAAAATCAGCAAAGAGTCTTAAAGCAAAAAAGAAGAAATTCCATATGGCCTTTGGTTTTCAGAGACAGAAGCCAACCACAAGTGTGGTATTCTTCCCCTCTCAAATAGGCACTTATTGTCAAGGGGACAGTTACCAGTCATCAGCTCCTGGGACTGGCCCATAGATCAGTGTTAAAGTGAAAATTCTCACAGCACTGGTTCCCAGTACTTAAACACTCAGGCAGCTAGGGTGCTTTAAAAGCTGGTTATTAATACATTGCCTGGGGTGGGGGAGAAATAGTGTAAAAACTGCATTGGCCAATTCACTGCCCAGATTGTGGTTTTCTTTCTCCGTTTTGCCCATATCTTATCACCTTACCCAGAACCTTCCCTTCACCTCCTAGTGGCTAGAGAGCTGCTGTTTCAGTCACAGAGAACTGGACCTACAATTGCCGAGGGCCTTGAGATGAGATGTCAGGGTCAGATGTGGTGCTGCTTTTTGGGTGGGGTGGAGGGGGATGCAAGGCAGTTGTGCACTGGTGAAGGGATTTTTAAAGGGAACTCAGCTGGTTTTTGAATTGCTCTGCCCAGATTGAAAGCTTGGCTGAACCAGAGCAATCCCGTCTGTGTGCATTGCAGTTACAGTTTGGAGCGTAAGGAGCTGACAAATGATGAATTGATTCCCAGTTTGCTACTTTTTCCCCTTACAGCATAGAAAATGGAGGCATTTTCCCATGGAGAACTTGACACAGTGTTACTGTTCCAGGAACCGGGCAGACGCACAGAAGCATGTGTGTTTGTGGGGAGGCGAGGACTAGAACTTGGTTCATCACCAAGAAGCAGAATCTAGTGTGAGGCTTGTAACCTAGGACATGTACCGTGTGCGTTTAAATGGAGCAAATTTGATCCTCATGGAAACAAAGGATTCAGAGCTGTGGCCAGACATAGTGTGAACAGGGAGTGTGCAAGTTTCCCATTTCACAGTTCTATCCTGTAGCACCACGTGGGAAAGGGTGATAGAAACATGAGTCTTAGTGTAAAGAGAAGGAATCTGCAGGGAAGCTACAGCAGCTGTATCAGTGCTATAGGAAGTCTGTAATGTGGCTGGGATGAAATGCAGTCTTAAAAGGACTAGACAAATGCAATGTATGTTCTCAGCTGGACAGAGGTCAGCTGATACTGGCCTCGCCTCCTTGTTTCCCACCTCCTCTGGCGTTCTCCAGCATCACGTCATGCAATGCCAGAAGAATGAATATACGCTTTTGAGCAACACAAGAGTTGTGCTTTGAAAAAATATCTTTTTTTGGAAGGTCACAGATCAGCTATTCATATAGCTAATGCTGAAAACAAATTGATTCAGATTCCAAGACCACGCCCTGTACAGATCTTGGAAGCGAAGTGGGACTCAGAATTCTTTGGGTTTCCAAGAGCTGTGGAAGGTTCTCTTTTGTGTCTAGTTTGGTGCCTTTTGAAATACTCTACTTCTCTGACTTGCCAGTGCTTTCAGTGTTGCAAATGCCAAGGAGGGTTGATGTGTGACTTTGGAGAGATGGTTGCTGTTACGCAAATTTCTCTTACAGGTCGACAAAAAGGTGTAAGCATGTTTTATATCTTTAGCACATTCCTTTCCTCCTATTAAGCTAGTTAAGGCAGTGTCCCATCATTTGGGGCCTCTTTATCACTGTGGGCATATTAGCAATGCCAAGACATCTGCAAAATGGATAAGAGCCTAGTGCGTGCCTTCAGTTCTTTATGCCAGGGGTTCTCACCCTTTTTCTTTCTGACCCTTTCTTCTTTCTGACCCACAGCATGCTATAAAAACTCCACGGCCCACCTTTTCCACAACAACAATTTCTACATATAAAAGTCAGGGCCGGTGTTAGGGGATAGGAAGCAGGGCAATTGCCTGGGGCCCCACGCAACAGGGATCCCCGCAAAGCGAAGTTGCTCAGGCTTCGGCTTCAGCCCCAGGTGACAGGGCTCGGGGCCCTGGGCTTCAGCCCCGCACAGCAGGGCTTCGGCTTTCTTCCCTGGGCTCCAGCAAGACTAACACTGGCCCTGCTTGGCGGACCCCCTGAAACCTGCTTGTGGCCCGCCGGGGGTCCTGGACCCCTGGTTGAGAACCACTGCATTATGCTGTCCAGGTGGTAACGCTGATTCTGAATCCCTTGCTCATTTCTGGACCCCTTAACAGTATTCTTTGTAAAAGACCTTGCCACATGTAGTATGTAGGACTAATTGACCTTAAAATTGGAGCCTGGCTGAATGGTGAAGGCATGATCTGTAGATATGTTAGATCTTTGAAAGTTGCCCAAGCCCCCTCTTTGCTCTAGATAGTTTTCCTTTCCTTTCTGATGTCAAATTCCCATCAGGGTGCAGAGGCCAAATTCCATTTCCTGAATGACCTTTGTATGAAATCAGAGGTGTTTTTGCGCAGCACGGAAGCTAGTTGGATGACGGGATGTTTCCAAAAGATTTGAACCCCTCTCCCCTGCCCCGTTGTCTCTTGCACAGTTGGCAGTGCCTGATAGACTCCATGGCTGAATAGAGCCTCTTACTGCTAAGCCTGATCCTTGATCAGCGGCTGTCTTTAGGCTCTGGAGGAATGTCTGTGTTTTAACTAAGGCCTCGTGTTTTCTGAACCTAAACATTGCAGCAAAGGCCCTGGATTTCTGTGGCCCTCTGATGCTGAATTCTGCAGCAGACTGGAAATTCAGCTGTCACTTTAAGTGTATATTGTGTGTGTGTGTATATATACACATATGTATGGTGGTGTGTGTGTGTGTGGCGTTATTGGCTATGGAAACAATTGATCTAATCAGTGCAGTATTTCTTGTTTGATGTACAGTTTGTGATACCTTCAAACTTTCTTCATTGTAGAAGTTGTCAGGGTGGAAGCTGGACACTGTGGCACCTGGATAGTGCACAGTTGGGGCATTTGGAAAGAGGGTTAGGGTGCATGTTTTTTGTAGGTGAAAGGCAGCTTGAACTCCAGCAATCCTTTTTCTTATGCCAGCTGTTTCACTGCCCCCAGCCCAGTCTATTGCTGTGTCAAATAGTGATACCTGGAATTATTAGTTGGTGTGTTTCTCTGACCAAACGTTCGGTTGTGACATAGTAAATTATTTAAATTACTGACAATTTTCTAACCTATCATTAAGCTTCAAAGTCAATACCCCATTGAGATGACTGAGGCAGTTCACAACTCTCAGCTAATTTCAGGCTGTCTGCAGACTCAGGAAGGCAGCTCTGCATCTGTTTACATTTGGGAAGCTTTTTATTGCACTAGACAAATTTCCTGTCCTTCTCTTCCCTCTGCATCCTGATAGGTTTACAATGTTTACATGGCAGGGAGGCAGCTGTGTTCGAAGCGGTACCGGGAGTTTGCCATCCTCCACCAGAACCTGAAGCGGGAGTTTGCCAATTTCACCTTCCCACGCTTGCCGGGGAAATGGCCTTTCTCTTTATCAGAGCAGCAGTTGGATGCCAGGCGCCGAGGGCTCGAGGAGTATCTAGAGAAAGGTAAAGGGCCAGCTGAGCCAGAAGCCCAGTGCTACATTGAAGCTGTCAGCTTTCAAGCAAGTGAAAGGTAGTCTTACAGTGATGGCGGTAAAGCCTACCAGCAAGGAAAAGAGGCTCATTTAAAACCAGGCTCAATTTTCCAAGTGAAACGCTGCAAGAAAAACCAAACTTCACTTGACGTAATGGCGCGGGTGTTAACTTGCTGAGCACTTCCAAGAACAAAACATAGTTAGTCTTTAATGCATGGTGAGTCGTTATTTATAGTGTTGTATCGCTTGCCAGTAAACGCACACATGCTGGATAGAGTGGGGATAAGAGGGAGATAAGGAAAACTTGATATTGTGGAGAGAATCGTTCTTAAGATCTTTTTCTTAGGGAGTCCCAGCCAGACTGCAGTAACATGGCCTTGCCACTGCTGTGTGTTTTTAAAGGGTGGTAGTGTGTCTCTGTTTAAGCTTTGGTGGCTTAGAGTCTGGAGTCTTCTGTGGCTTCAGTTGCTTATGCTGTCTGGGTAGTAATGCTGCATCCAGATCCCCTGCTTTATCTGTGGCCCTTGTAAGTGTTCTTAGTAAGAGACCATGCCCCACACGTGCACTGTAAATGGGGATCAGAAAGGAATTTTCACCCCATGGTATGGCCCTGTGCTTGGCTTGCCTTGAAGCAGCAGGGATTGGCTATTGCTGGGTGAGATGGACCGAGTGTGTGCGTGCAAATGCTTGTGCCAGGTGCGAGTTTGACATCCTGAGGATTCTCTGCTTAGAGTGGGTACAGCGTGGTGTTAGCACAGCAAGCTTCTCTTGCACATTGTTAATATATCTCAGCCCTGCCTTCCATGGCCCAGTGAATCCTCAGCCTCCCTGTTAAGTCTTTCAAGAAAGGAATAAATCAGCAGTGTCTGTTAGCGTTGTGGACCCTGCCCTTAGTGGACTGGGCTTAGGTACCACTTCATTTCACACAGGCCACCTACCAGTGACTGAAAGTTATCTTCCCTTCCCCCAGGCTCTGTTCAAACCAACCCCCTGGTTTCGTTTCTGCCCATTTCCAGGTATGATCCACTAACGCAGCATTCTCTTTGTCCTGTAGTGTGCTCCATACGAGTTATTGGGGAGAGCGACATCATGCAGGAGTTCTTATCGGAATCGGACGAGGTAAGTGGGCGTGCTGGAGACTACGCCGGCGTGCTAATCCGATGCTGTGTTTTCTCTTTCATAACTGTTACCTTCCTGCAGAAAGCTGCGTTACTGGCCACTAGGTACCATCATAATGGGGGCAAAAGACTTCTCAGAGTTTGCCATGTGCCTCTGTTATATCCGCCTGCTATTGATACAGGGGATTGCTGCAATGAAGAACAGCTCTGATGCCGTTCTTTTCAGTTCCTGGAGTTCAGATTTCTACAAACAAGCAACCAAACTCTCTCAATAGTGGACCCTTGCCTTTCGTACATGTCCCCTTGGCAGGCCCAATATAAGATCCACTGATGGGGGTTTGTTGCTTGCTGCTTGTGTTAATGTTGCATCTTGCAGCACTGCTGGCTTCTGTGTAGCCTCTGGTAGCTTGAGTAGCTTTGCATTTGCATGTTACTCATATTTTATGGTGCAGCCTTTGGAAGCCAAGGCAATAGGTGTTATAAACATTAATATTTTATCTCGGAATGATTTAGTTGTGATTGCAAAGCAGCAATTGGGAGTTATTTTACCACCAGCTATTGCTTTTCCTCCAAAACTTCTTGTGGTATGTAGAGCTGCTGTATCCAAGAGCTTTTCTTCCTTCACTGGCAAACTTAGAATGCACTGATTCAGGCAAGTGGAAAATCCTTTCCAATCGTGACCTGAAATGGTTCTTTCAAGTTCCTGTCCTGTGAAGTAGCTGGATTCACATCTTCCTTTTTTTTAAAAGTTGCCTCTGTTGCAATCAGAAATCAGTTTCTGAGGCTTGTAAAAGATTCATTTTGAAGTGTGGTTATATTCTGAAAATTGACTATGTAAAAATGACCCCTTCCTGTTCATGGGTTCCTGTATTTTTATTTATAGTGACGCTTGACACCTTTGACTCCAGTGAATGGGAGCTGGAGTCTGTTCTGGCTCACACAGCCTCAACCAGAATGGTTAACCAAGTTCTGTTTGTAGGAACAAATTTTCTTGTCACTTACATCTATGAACACCGGCCAAAATTGGGCTACAGAACCCTTAGAAAGGGATGATGATGGTCCCGTGGTTTGAGCACTAGGCCAGGGTTTAAGAGACCCTGGTTCAATTCCCTGCTCCACAACAGACTTCTTGTGTGAGATCTTGGGCAAATTACTTAATGTCTCTGGGCCTCGGTTCTCCCTCTACAAGAGAGAGAATAGTCCTGCCCCGCCTCACATGGGTGTTGTGAGGATAATGCGTTACTATTTGTGTGGGACTCGGATCCTATTATAATGGGGGCCAGATAAAATAGATACCGATAGTGATGGGTGAACCAGAAAGAGCCTGTTTTAATTCTCAGATCCCAGTGTGAGTTTGCAGGGCTGGCCGTTAGAAAAATAAATCTTCTTGTAAACGTAGCCAATTTAATTTGAACTCATGGAGTGCATATGTGCCATGCCACTTCTAGATCACTTCTCTGGGGTAAAATAACTCCTCTTCAGGACTGTAGTAATCTAGGTACTGCAGGAGATACAAATCTAGTGATTCCTGGTTGGATGCTCTGTGGCATGATGGGAAGAAAGGACTGTGATGGATTTTCTCTTTTCCAGAATTACAATGGTGTGTCAGATGTGGAACTAAGAGTAGCACTACCAGACACAACAACAGTAACAGTCAGGGTCAAAAAGAACAGCACTACAGACCAGGTGTATCAGGTAAGGTGCATATTTGCATGAAGCTGTCTAAATATCTGAAATAGATGAATGTGGTTCAAACTTGAAGCAAGACCCTAGATGCACAGAGAGACCTTTCCCATTGCTGTTCTCCGTGGTGGGTGTGTTCCAATGGAACTGTTCCTGCAATAACACAACAGGGAAGAGAGAGCTGGAGAAATCCAACCTTACATCTTGGTGAAATGGTGTTTCCTTTGGCAGTTTCTCCTGCAAGGGCAGAGTTGTCGCTCTGTTAATTTTCACTGATAATATCTTAAAAGCTGCAGCAGGATTTCTCTAATAACTAGACAAATTTTGTCTTGCTGCTGCAGAGAGTTAGCTGTCTGCAGGCAATGAGAGCTTGCAAACCCAACATACGATTCTTGTGCGGCTGTCTAGTAGGGCAGCGACTTGAGTCTTAATAGGAGCTCTCTGCGTTGGGGAAATCGTGAGCGTGGGGTTAGTATTTAGCTGCCTTGTAGAGTTGGACTAGCAGGTTTAAGGCCTGACCCCGGGGAGGTCCTGACCCCTCTCAACTCCCATTAAAGTCACTGCAACACCCCACACCATAGTGATCTTAACTGGTTTACTGCTTCGTGAGTATGCCTAGAGAGTGGTGCTGCCGTCAAGGGATCCATTTAAAGTAGGTTAACAAAATGCAGCCAATGCTGCTGTAACTGAGGATGGTAGCTCGTAGAGAATTAATGGGGGATACAGGTTCAGAAGGAAACCTGAACAAATGCAAGTGTTGCTATAAGTAACAGAGCCAAAGGAAATGCATGACAGTAAAATCTCATGGGTTCTAGATTTATGCAGTGAAAATCTGTGCTTGTCTGATCAGATTCTGTATATTAATGCATTTAGGACACCGTCTATTGAATTGCATGCTTGTATCGAGCTCCTACTTAAGCATGGCTCTGTTAGCATATAGGACTGAAGTATTGCTGGAAAAACTCCTAAGGGAAGCGGGGGAGGGTGTCTGTGCCTGGTGTACTAGGAACTGAAACTTGAGGCGCCAGAAGAAAAGATGACCTAATTGTCAGCTGTGGCAGTGCTTGAAATCTGGAGCAGTTTACAGAAGGAAAGAGCAAGAGACTCTGAGCCCTAGTTAAATAAAAACTGTGATTGAACAGGAATAGCGTTAAAGCTTTCCTTGGTGACTAATACCTGGGATCGGTGACTTGTAAATAACATATGTGAAGCTAGGCCGGCCCTGTCCTCGAAGAAGGTCGGGTGCGGGCTGAACACTATTTTGCTGACCCGATTTTTCTTTTTGGTTGCACTTTAGGCTGTGGCTGCTAAAGTAGGAATGGACAGCACTACAGCAAACTACTTTGCCTTGTTTGAAGTGATCAATCACTCCTTTGGTAAGTCTCAATCCTCCCAACCCAACCACGCAAAAGTTCTGCAGCGGCAGAGCCTGCTGGCGTTCTCATTTAGCTCTGACCTCCTCTCAAAATCCAGAGCCCCCATGGGAAATCTTCCAGGCCTTGGAGACTCTGATAATGAGGAGCCTTCGAAGTTTGATAGTTTTTGTTTCTGCTAATGCTTGACTTTCCCTTTTTTAAACAGTTCAAGGAGACTAAATTGTGAGAAACGAAAACCTGTTTTAGTTTTAAGGATTCCAGTGTGCTTAAGATGCTCTTATAGTGCCTGGGAGGATGAAGGGCTGAGAACTCTGATGGCATTTGAGCCTTGATTGTGGGAGTCTGGGGGGGTTTTGATGATGAAACCACCCTGCCAGCTAAAGAGAAGTAAAGCTTACTGATTTTATCTGTGGTTTCTTAAATCATCAGCAGTAGTGCTTCTGTTTTTCACCCAGTTTCAAACAGAATTTGCTGAAGCAGAAGGAAGTCAGGTAACTTAGATGTGAATGTGTTCGGTTTTATGTGCTAGGCTTTGAGCCAAGGGGTCCTGATTCCTAGCCCTGTTCTCACAATCTGTATGTTAACAGCTTTCTTATACAGCTGCAGGAGTGCCCTAAATCCTTGTGCCTTGTGTTACGTTGCTAATTGTGCAATATAGGCTGAGATAGTACAAACTGTTCCCGCTGGCTTGGATTGCGGGAGCATTTTAGATTTTTAAAGAAAGCACTTCTAAAATATCTCTGACACAGCAGACTAGATTGGCATGCAGATCTTGATCCTGGATCATCAACGTTTTGTGGTTCATTCCTGTGTCCTGTGCAGCAGCCTCAATCACAAAATTACCACTTGATGCCACCAAGTTGACAGTTGCTTTACCAGAGATACCTGGCACTGAGATGACAGGGCAGGATCCCAGGGCATTGGCAGATTTGTGTGTGGGGAGCCCGGGACTGCAATCATAGAATCATAGAATATCAGGGTTGGAAAGGACCTCAGGAGGTCATCTAGTCCAACCCCCTGCTCAAAGCAGGACCAATCCCCAACTAAATCATCCCAGCCAGGGCTTTGTCAAGCCTGACATTAAAAACCTCTAAGGAAGGAGATTCCACCACCTCCCTAGGTTTCCATTCCAGTGTTTCACCACCCTCCTAGTGAAAAAGTTTTTCCTAATATCCAACCTAAACCTCCCCCACTGCAACTTGAGACCATTACTCCTTGTTCTGTCATCTGCTACCACTGAGAACAGTCTAGATCCGTTCTCTTTGGAATCCCCTTTCAGGTAGTTGAAAGCAGCTGTCAAATCCCCCCTCATTCTTCTCTTCCGCAGACTAAACAATCCCACTTCCCTCAGCCTCTCCTCATAAGTCATGAGTTCCAGTCCCCTAATCATTTTTGTTGCCCTCGGCTGGACGCTTTCCAATTTATCCACATCCTTCTTGTAGTGCGGGGCCCAAAACTGGACACAGTACTCCAGGTGAGGCCTCACCAATGTTGAATAGAGGGGAACGATCCCGTCCCTCGATCTGCTGGCAATGCCCCTACGTATACATCCCAAAATGCCATTGGCCTTCTTGGCAACGAGGACACACTGTTGACTCATATCCAGCTTCTCGTCCACTGTCACCCCTCGGTCCTTTTCTGCAGAACGGCAGCCTAGAAGAGCATGCTGCAGGACAGGATTGAAATGTATTGGCAGAGCTGTGTAGGGAGCCCAGACAGGAATGTCAGGCATGCTGGAGTTCAGAATTGGGGTGTATTGGCGAAGCTTCACACAGGAAGTTTTCACACTGCGTGATTCTAACCAGTGCTATATAAGAGCTGGGTATTAATAATAGTTCTTCCTTATTTTTATGAGTGCCATGCTTTTCAAACTATTGAAAATTGAAACGCTCTAGTTAACCTTCATGGCGGGTGCACTGGTAAAACTCATTCTGAATAGCCACAGTTCTGTGTATACTGTACACACTCCATTTAGTTTCTCTGCAAACAACTGAGCTCTATCTGTGATAGTGCAAGGACAGTGTTCCTACCTGAATGTGGGCTGAAAAGCCACTCAGGTGGGTTATGCTGGCTCACACTGTGTTCTTCTCCCTCGTTGTTTAGCAAGGTGTTTTTTTCAATACAGTAAACTCACAACAAAGGCATGCTGCCTGTGGTACCAATCATCCCGAGCTGGTATTGAATAGCTTGAAGGCAGCTCCTTTGTCACTGACTACTCTACGGGTCTTTGTTCTGGTTCTGATGGCAGACTGCCCAGATAGTGTGAGATCCTCCTGTTGCTTGGGAGAATCTTAAAGCAGCTTCAGTGTGTGCGAGAAAATGTACTGTTCTGAAGCGCTCGATGATAGATCATAAGAATTGTAGCCCCGCTGGATTCCATGTTATCCACTCCCATAGGCCAAAGCAAGACTCTTCCCTGCATTGTTTTCTCCTGTGGTTTCAATGCCCAGGCCAGAGAACCAAAATCGAAGGCTTGAGCAGGATACATCCCTGTACTCTTCAACGAAGAGTGAAAACAAACTGTGACGGTCTGACAAATGTGGTCTTTCTTCGCCAAGCGTGGCTGCTTTCAGCTGAAGTCCTGCATTACACAGCTGCTTTCCACACACACTTGAGGTACAGCCCCTGGACAGCAGCGTTCCCCAGACAGCAGGTCAAGCGAGTGGATTCTGGTTTCATACAAATTCCTGATTTCTGGGGTGCCTGTGTGTTGACCTGAGCCTGCAAATGACTAGCCTAGTAAAGCTCTGACATTGTGAAGGCAAAAGTCAGATGGGGGAAGGATCTTGGAAAAAGCAGAGCTGGGGTCTTGACCCCGTCTGCTCCATGGGGACCTGCTCACTCACTCGCCTTTGCATTGTGTTAGCCGAGGCAGTGTAACTTCCTTGAGGTACTGCTATTCATGTGTGTTGCGGTATTGCCTAGGCGCCCCAGTCATGGGCCTGCAACTCATTGTGCTAGGTGCTGTACAAACACAGATCAAAAGGATGGTTCTTGCCCCAAAGAGCTCAGCCTACTCTTCCCATACATCTTGCAGTGCGTAAACTGGCGCCCAATGAATTCCCACACAAGCTGTACGTACAGAACTACACTTCGGCGGTGCCGGGGACTTGTCTGACTATCAGGAAATGGCTCTTCACTACAGAAGAGGAAGCCCTTCTGAATGACAATGACCTTGCAGTTACCTACTTCTTCCACCAGGTGGGTGCATGTGAATTCCTTGCCTCGGAATGCTGAACTAACTTTACCACAGGCCATTTAAACCAGCTCCCACTCGTGTTGCTGTAGCGATTTTGAATTCCAAGACATTGAATGCCTCAGCGCCATGAAGAGCTTGGGGTGGGGAAGGCCCCGTCCTATGTACATCACTGTTGTGTAAGAAATGGAAATTGATGGTTGAGTGATTTGCCCACTGTCGCCCAGTGACTCCGTGGCAGGTTCATAAACAGAGTACAGGATCCTGCTGCTACTCATCACTGGCTCAGGCCCTCAAAGAGCAAACAGAAGAACTCAGGAGTTCAGACTCCGTCTCCTGCTCTAGCCACTAGATACGCTAGGACCCCTGAGTTCTTGTCTCTGCTCTCACTGACTCATTGTCTCGTTTGGCAAGTCACTTCACCTGTTTTCCTTCATTTACTCCTCTGTAAAACCAGCGTGTCACCTACTGCCCAAGGGTGCTGTGCACTGAATGCATATTTGTAAAGCACATGACTATCCTGTAGAAGTGCCAGGTGAAAGTACTGCATTTCAGACCAGTGAAGAAATCCCTTAATAGTCTGTTGAAGACTCAACTTTGCTCAGTTTCCTTCCCCCTTTTTTCATTTAGGCTGTGGATGATGTAAAGAAAGGTTGCATCAAAGCCGAGGAAAAGTCCTACCAGTTACAGAAGCTGTCTGAGCAGAAAAAGATGGTTATGGTATGTTTATTTTCTCATTACTTGGAAATGGCTGTTTCCTCTGGCAAATGAAGCCAGATGCATTGGCCCTGGACTGTGCCTTTCCAGTCTGCAGTGAAGCTATAAAAGTACCACTTTCCAAGGGAAGCTGTGTTTGGAAGAGCACTGTGGGTGTATTTTGACTTGCGTTGGTTGAATACACAAGGGAATGCAAGGTTATCACGGTGCTGACTGGTAAGCGAGACTCCCAAAACACTCGGTGAGTTAGTTTGTATGGAGCTAATGTCCATATACCAGATCATGCGTTGCGTTGAGTCAAACTCCCTTACTTGTGTGGTATGTGCTGCTGGGGCAAGACTCAATTCTTGTTTGAAAAACATTGAGCTGGTAAATCTACAGCACTTAAAGACTTTTTATAAATCACTCAGTTGGGGTCCTTTTATGGCAGCTCTTCTGCCCGTTTAGTATTTGATCATCAAAGGGCTGTTTCCATCCGGATCTGTTCTAAGAACAAGAATGGTCTGGCCAGTGGTGCGTCTCATCTCGTATCTCCTCTCTCTTTGTGGCCAGTACCAGACGTTTCAGGGGAAGGTTCTAAAACCCATTGCCAAGCACTCTGCATAGCTGGTGCTTGTGGCACTAGTGTAACTTTATTTACACACCTCTGGCTTCTGGTCTGTGCCAACGAGGCTGCGCACGAGCAAGCTGGGTGGTACCCTGCCTTGCACATCACCACACAGTGAGCTGAGCTCTGGTCCTAGCCTCCCTGTTGCTGCTGGGGCTGTCAGAGGCAGAAAATGTAGCTTCAAGGTCAGAAGAATCACTGGGCTTGTACGTGGAATAACTTACTGAATTGCTCTGGGATCATTGAGGCTGAATAAACAAGGGGCCTTCCGCTGTCCTTTATGAATGGGAGCTCCATCCTGTCAGGTTTTATTTCCCTGACCACCTTTGGTGGATGCTCACCGCCTCTAGCATTGTTCCCGCCTGTAGATTGCTGGTCTCTGGTGCCAATGACCTCCCAATTTGAAATCCTCTCCCCGGTTAGTCTTTGCCAGCTCTTACTGCGCCTTGTACTCGTGGGCTGCAGGTATAATAGGCCAGGGAGGCGCTGCCTCCCCCAGGGCTGCTGCGGGCACCGGACCCCCGGTTGTGGCATTTGGCAGCAAAGTTTTTGTTTTATTATGCCCCTTGCAGGTTCCGGGGTGGCTGAGGAGGTGGTACTGTATGTGCCTCCTCAACCACCCCGGAACCTGCATGGAGCATATCAAAAGCGTCTTCTACAGACGCTTTTCCCGTGGGCGGGTTGGGTCTGGGGAGGGGAGGCACGGCAGGGTTGTGGCCAGCCCCGGGCTTCTCCTGGTGCGGGGAGGGCTCCTATGCTCGTGGGAGGGGTTTCCAGGCTGCACCTGGCCCGGGGCTCCTCCAGGCAGGTGGAGGGGGGAGGGAGGGACTCTGGGCCTTGGCCAGTCCTGCAGGGCTCCTCCACTTGGGGCTTCGGCCAGCCCGGCTGGGGCTCCTCCAGGTGGCGTGGGAGCACTCCGGGCTTGTACATGGCTGGCCCAGGGCTCCTCTAGCTGAGAGGGCTGGCCCTGGGCTCCTCCAGGCAGGTGAAAGGGGCTGGGGGCGCTCGAGGCTTTGGCCAGCCCGGAGCTCCTCTGCCCAGGCCTGGGGAGGCTTGGGGCTCCTGTAGCTGGGGGGTGGAGGGGCTTGCAGCTCCGGCTGTGGGGAGGGCGCAGGCGGAAGGGGCGGAGTTGGCGGCTAGCCTCCCCAGAGGTGGCTCCGCCTGCCGCCCATGCTGGTACTAGTGGGAGCCCTGTTGACCCTTTTTGACAGTAACAGCTGCCACAGATCATTGCTCTAGGAGCTTGAAATGCCTCTGTGGGGAGCTCCAGGTCATCTGCGAGGCATTCTAATCACTCCCTAATCCATGTATTTGCTTACCACAGTGAATACAAAACATCCCCCTCCCCCTGCCTGCTTCACTGCTGAGACATTCCAGTAAGCTTTGAGCCCCTACCTTCCTTTACGGGCTGTTCCATCACTGGCTTTTCAACTACTGCAAACATCATAAATAGAGTTAAAGGGCCAATGTCAAGGTAATATAATTGGAACACTTCACCTGTGCTAATTAATAACTGTTCCTATTGCAAGAGAGTCTATAGGTCCCAGTTATGATTGGATCCCTCTTGTGCAAGGAGCTGTTCAAACTCACTGGAAGACATGGCTCTTGTCCCCAAAACCTTACATAAAACACTTCAAATCATAAAGCTAGAGGGAGAAATTAAGGTTCATATTTGGAGTACAGGATTGCAGTAAGGGGCTGGGGGGCACTGAGGGGATTTCAGAGGTTTGGGATGATGGGGGGCCTTTCATTTGTTAAAAGAGCCAACACATCACTTTCTTGCTTTTCTCCAGTATTTAAACATGCTGCGGACATGTGAGGGTTACAATGAGATCATCTTCCCCCACTGCTCCTGTGACTCCCGGCGAAAGGGTCATGTGATTACAGCCATCAGCATCAAGCACTTTAAACTCCATGCCTGCACAGAGGAGGGTCAGCTAGAGGTAAGCAACTCAAGGACATGGCAGGGCTTCCTGGGTATGAGGAAGTTCAACTTTGCTGTAGGAAGAGGCAGAACACTGGTTCCCCATTCCTGGGATACTGCAGCTGCTCTAAGAGTAAAGTTGAGAGCAGGATGAGGTGGATTTTAAAACAGGGTGGTAAATGCACTGCTGTGTGATTACAGGGACGGCTGCTGCTGTGTGATTACAGGGACGGCTGCTATGTTGGATTCCCACGGCAAGCTCTGCAGCATTAGGACTCTGTATCCCCACTTCCCCTGCGTGCCATTCTGCAGCTTTCCTGGAACTCCCTTGTTTTTTCATCTCTTCCCCTGCACTCTGCCCCACCCCCGGCCCCGGTTCAGATCTGCCCTGTAGCATTTCAGGAGCTAACTTGCCTCCTGACTCGGCCTTGGCCAAGACCCTCCCAACTGGAGCATGGCCCGCTCTGGACTCTGATCTCTTCTTCTGTTTAGAACCAGGTAATAGCATTTGAGTGGGACGAGATGCAGCGGTGGGACACAGACGAAGAAGGAATGGCATTCTGTTTTGAATATGCACGAGGAGAGAAGAAACCTCGATGGGTTAAAATCTTCACCCCATATGTAAGTGACCTTGTTAACTCCAAATGCACTAAGGAGAGGGACTCGCCCAGTTTTTAGAAACTGGTGTAAAATTCTCTTTGCTCTGATCTCTTGGTGTGAGAGAAGATTTGACACTCAACTTTTCCTTGCGCTGCGTAACCAGACAGCCACTAGGAGGAGCCAGAGATACAGTAAGTTCTTGCTGGCTAGAGCTGGTATCTTTGTCTTCCCCTGCTGTAAATGGAAGCTGGGTGTACGGCTTCTGACTCCTGTCCCGCTCTCTGATGGGCGGCTGTCATTTCAGAGCTGCATAGCGCTATGCTGCTGTGCTTGGCTTTATGTCAACCTAAGAGAGGGCTGCTTTATCTTTTCAGTTCAACTACATGCACGAGTGCTTCGAGCGGGTGTTCTGTGAGCTCAAGTGGAGGAAGGAGGTAAGATCCTGTAACTGCACAGAAATTGCTTAGTACATTTGTGAGTTGGCAGTAACCTTTTCCTGGCAAGCTTTCATACTCGTTCGCAATATCGGCTTACTGCCCAAACAAGGAGGGGAGTGTTTTGTAGTGTGGAGGGCTGATAGCAGGGACTCCTGGGTTCTATTCCCAGCTCTGGGAGCGGGCACATGGGAGTCGCTCCTGGGTTTTATCTGCAGCTGTTGGATGGGAGTGTTGGTGAGTGACTAGAACAGGGAGCTGGGTGTCAGGACTCCTGGGGCCTGATGGTCTCGTCCTTTGCGTCACATAACTCCTTTTGAAGAGGTGGTACTGGGCGTGTGTGGCATGGGGTAATCAAACACCCGCCTCTGCAAGTCATTGCCTGACACGCCTTGGGCAAGTTACTCCCTTGCCTGAGTCTCCTGATCTGTTAAAAGGAGAGAGCAAAGCCTCCCTCTCCCAGGAGGGTTATGAGGACTGCTTAATTGTTCATCAAGAGTTTTGAGATCCTGCAGGGGAAGGCTCTGTAGAAGTGCAAAGTATCTTTTTTTTTTTTTTTTTTCAATTATACCAAGAATCCCATGCTCAGAATCTGTCAGTCATGATGTCCTCTTGGTAAATTATTAAATTTTTAGGTGGGACTCTGGCTGGTGTTGGGGTTTCTTTCCAAGCCAAGGAGACCTTAGCAAATAAGCCCACCCCACCTGTTGCTTGTTCACTTGTTTGTATTCAGTGTTTTCTATTTCTACTGCATGCACCTCTCCATCCTCTCCTGGTCCTTAGAGGAGATGTTTGGCCGCCCCTCATCCACCTGCTAGAGTCTCCCTATCCCAATGTGACTGCTGCCTGGCTCTGTGTCCCCATGGTACAGCTTCCTGCTACAGCTAACTGCAGTGTAGCAGGGAGATGGCAGAAGAAGGTAGCTGGCAACCTGCCCTCCAGGCAGTTGGCTCAGAGGAGATGATGCAGAGCTCCTCTGCTTAGGATGCCGAAGTCTGATATTAGCAATGTGCTGGGCATCATCATGTGTAGTGTCTTGAATCGCCACAAGGTGCCTGTTGGAAAACTTGTGCTGCTCTATTGTCTTGGTGTTTCTCAGTCATCCCAGTACATAAAGGGAGATGGTGTCTTCCTTTTGGAGCTTTGGATATAAGCAACTGCTGGAGGCAGGATACTGCACTAAATGGGCCATTAGTCTGTTCTGTGCTGCTAAGCTCCTCTGCTTAACCCATTACCTCTGAGGATCAACTCTGTCACTTCTATCGTCTCTTGATCCTGAAGCAGGCAGCCTCTAGAAGAGACTAGCTTTGCTTATTAGAACACTGTTGGGTGCCATCTCTGAACACAAGCTTCCTGGAGCAGATGTGTATTTCTGTAAGGACTGACGTGCTGATATTTGTGTGGGCTCCTATACCCCAGAGATCTGAAGCTGGTATGTGAATATGCTCTGGCAGTCTGGATAGCTCTCATCTGTACATAACCATGCCTTTGCCACGTGCACTGCTGGATTTCCTCAGGGGCAGCATTCACTGTGGTGGCTGGCAGGATTCTTAATCACATGCAACAGCTGGGCACTATGGGTACACAGCGAGGGGGAGAAGAGGCTCTTTGGTCAGTGTATACAGACTTCTAACTCCATCCGAGTTCTTTGGGTTGGCACTGGGCAGCGTTCCGTCGGGACCTCGTGTTAGCCCTGGTCTACACTCGGACTTTAGGTCGAATTTAGCAGCATTAAATCGATGTAAACCTGCACCCGTCCACACGATGAAGCCCTTTATTTCGACTTAAAGGGCTCTTAAAATCGATTTCCTTACTCCACCCCTGACAAGTGGATTAGCGCTTAAATCGGCCTTGCCGGCTCGAATTTGGGGTACTGTGGACACAATTTGACGGTATTGGCCTCTGGGAGCTCTGGACAGCACTCTCAACTCAGATGCACTGGCCAGATAGACAGGAAAAGAACCGCGAACTTTTGAATCTCATTTCCTGTTTGGCCAGCGTGGCAAGCTGCAGGTGACTATGCAGAGCTCATCAGCAGAGGTGACCATGATGGAGTCCCAGAATCGCAAAAGAGCTCCAGCATGGACCGAACGGGAGGTACGGGATCTGATCGCTGTATGGGGAGAGGAATCCGTGCTATCAGAACTCCGTTCCAGTTTTCGAAATGCCAAAACCTTTGTCAAAATCTCCCAGGGCATGAAGGACAGAGGCCATAACAGGGACCCGAAGCAGTGCCGCATGAAACTGAAGGAGCTGAGGCAAGCCTACCAGAAAACCAGAGAGGCGAACGGTCGCTCCGGGTCAGAGCCCCAAACATGCCGCTTCTATGATGAGCGGCATGCCATTTTAGGGGGTTCAGCCACCACTACCCCAGCCGTGTTGTTTGACTCCTTCAATGGAGATGGAGGCAATACGGAAGCAGGTTTTGGGGACGAAGAAGATGATGATGATGAGGTTGTAGATAGCTCACAGCAAGCAAGTGGAGAAACCGGTTTTCCCAACAGCCAGGAACTGTTTCTCACCCTGGACCTGGAGCCAGTACCCCCCGAACCCACCCAAGGCTGCCTCCTGGACCCAGCAGGCGGAGAAGGGAACTCTGGTGAGTGTACCTTTTAAAATACTATACATGGTTTAAAAGCAAGCATGTGAAAGGATTACTTTGCCCTGGCATTCGCGGCTCTCCTGGATGTACTCCCAAAGCCTTTGCAAAAGGTTTCTGGGGAGGGCAGCCTTATTGCGTCCTTCATGGTAGGACACTTTACCACTCCAGGCCAGTAACACGTACTCGGGAATCATTGTACAACAAAGCATTGCAGTGTATGTTTGCTGGCGTTCAAACAACATCCGTTCTTTATCTCTCTGTGTTATCCTCAGGAGAGTGAGATATAATTCATGGTCACCTGGTTGAAATAGAGTACTTTTCTTTAGGGGACACTCAGAGGAGCCCATTCCTGCTGGGCTGTTTGCCTGTGGCTAAACAGAAATGTTCCCCGCTGTTAGCCACAGGGAGGGGGGAGGGTTGAGGGGGTAGCCACGCTGTGGGGGGAGGCAAAATGCGACCTTGTAACAAAAGCACATGTGCTATGTATGTAATTTTAACAGCAAGGTTTACCCTGAAAGAGTGTAGCCACTGTTTTATAAAATGTGTCTTTTTAAATACCGCTGTCCCTTTTTTTTTTCTCCACCAGCTGCATGCGTTTCAATGATCACAGGATCTTCTCCTTCCCAGAGGCTAGTGAAGCTTAGAAAGAAAAAAAAACGCACTCGAGATGAAATGTTCTCCGAGCTCATGCTGTCCTCCCGCACTGACAGAGCACAGATGAATGCGTGGAGGCAAATAATGTCAGAGTGCAGGAAAGCACAAAATGACCGGGAGGAGAGGTGGCGGGCTGAAGACAGGGCTGAAGCTCAAATGTGGTGGCAGCGTGATGAGAGGAGGCAGGATTCAATGCTGAGGCTGCTGGAGGACCAAACCAGTATGCTCCAGTGTATGGTTGAGCTGCAGCAAAGGTAGCTGGAGCACAGACTGCCACTACAGCCCCTGTGTAACCAACCGCCCTCCTCCCCAAGTTCCATAGCCTCCACACCCAGACGCCCAAGAACGCGGTGGGGGGGCCACCGGCCAACCAGCCACTCCGCCACAGAGGATTGCCCAAAAAAAAGAAGGCTGGCATTCAATAAATTTTAAAGTTGTAAACTTTTAAAGTGCTGTGTGGCATTTTCCTTCCCTCCTCCACCACCCCTCCTGGACTACCTTGGTAGTCATCCCCCTATTTGTGTGATGAATGCATGAATGTGAAGCAACAATGACTTTATTGCCTCTGCAAGCGGTGATCGAAGGGAGGAGAGGAGGGTGGTTAGCTTACAGGGAAGTAGAGTGAACCAAGGGGCAGGGGGGTTTCATCAAGGAGAAACGAACAGAACTTTCACACCGTAGCCTGGCCAGTCATGAAACTGGTTTTCAAAGCTTCTCTGATGCGTACTGCGCCCTCCTGTGCTCTTCTAACCGCCCTGGTGTCTGGCTGCGCGTAACCAGCAGCCAGGCGATTTGCCTCAACCTCCCACCCCACCATAAACGTCTCCCCCTTACTCTCACAGATATTGTGGAGCACACAGCAAGCAGTAATAACAGTGGGAATACTGGTTTCGCTGAGGTCTAAGCGAGTCAGTAAACTGCGCCAGCGCGCCTTTAAACGTCCAAATGCACATTCTACCACCATTCTGCACTTGCTCAGCCTGTAGTTGAACAGCTCCTGACTACTGTCCAGGCTGCCTGTGTACGGCTTCATGAGCCATGGCATTAAGGGGTAGGCTGGGTCCCCAAGGATACATATAGGCATTTCAACATCCCCAACAGTTATTTTCTGGTCTGGGAATAAAGTCCCTTCCTGCAGCTTTTGAAACAGACCAGAGTTCGTGAAGATGCGAGAGTCATGTAACTTTCCCGGCCATCCCACGTTGATGTTGGTGAAACGTCCCTTGTGATCCACCGGAGCTTGCAGCACTACTGAAAAGTACCCCTTGCGGTTTATGTACTCGGCGGCTTAGTGCTCCGGTGCCAAGACAGGGATATGGGTTCCGTCTATGGCCCCACCACAGTTAGGGAATCCCATTGCAGCAAAGCCATCCACTATGACCTGCACATTTCCCGGGGTCACTACCCTTGATATCAGCAGATCTTTGATTGCGTGGGCTACTTGCATCACAGCAGCCCCAACAGTAGATTTGCCCACTCCAAATTGATTCCCAACTGACCAGTAGCTGTCTGGCATTGCAAGCTTCCACAGGGCTATCGCCACTCGCTTCTCAACTGTGAGGGCCGCTCTCATCTTGGTATTCATGCGCCTCAGGGCAGGGGAAAGCAAGTCACAAAGTTCCATGAAAGCGCCCTTACGCATGCGAAAGTTTCGCAGCCACTGGGAATCGTCCCAGACCTGCAACACTATGCGGTCCCACCAGTCTGTGCTTGTTTCCCGAGCCCAGAATCGGCGTTCCACAGCATGAACCTGCCCCATTAGCACCAAAATGCATGCATTGGCAGGTCCCATGCTTTCAGAGAAATCTGTGTCCATGTCCTGATCACTCACGTGACCGCGCTTTTGTCGCCTCCTTGCCCGGTATCGCTCTGCCAGGTTCTGGTGCTGCATATACTGCTGGATAATGCGTGTGGTGTTTAATGTGCTCCTAATTGCCAAAGTGAGCTGAGTGGCCTCCATGCTTGCCTTGGTATGGTGTCCGCACAGAAAAAAGGCGCGGAACGATTGTCTGCCTTTGCTCTGACGGAGGGAGGGGCGACTGACGACACGGCTTACGGGGTTGGCTTCAGGGAGCTAAAATCAACAAAGGGGGTGGCTTTACATCAAGGAGTATTTCAGGCAGGACTTCACGGAGGGTTCCAATAAGAAATGGTGCACCTAAGTTATTGTTCTTATTGGAACAAGGAGGTTAGCCTGGCCTCTGATTGATACATGGCTAGATTTACCTCGCTGCACCTTCTCTGTGAGTGACTGCAGTGTGACCTAGAGGAATGAGTCCACTAGACAGGGGAGGAGGCAAATGAGTACAAAACAAATCTGGTCTATTTCTTGTTTTGATCCACTCCATCTATCTTTTACATCTTTGGCTGGCAGCAGACGGTGCAGAAGGACTGCATGCCATCCACATCTCATGGCTGCTCAGCAGAAGATGGTGCAGTAGGACTGCTAGCCATCCTCATCTCTTGCCTGCCCGGCAGAAGATAATGCAATAGGACTGCTAGCAATCCGTATCGCCTGCCTGCTCACCATAAGACAGTTCAATAGGACTGACTGCAGGACTAAAGAGAATGACCTGGTCAAGTCACTCCAAATTTAGTCCCTGCGTCCATGTCTGCCCAGGCGCTCCCAGCCGACATGGCCAGGAGCACCTCGGACACAACGAGAACGGCTACCAGTCGTACTGCACCGTCTGCTGCCAGAAGGCAATGGGTTGCTGCTACTGTGTAGCAATGCCGTACCGCGTCTGCCAGCACCCAGGAGACATACGGTGACGGTTACCTGAGCGGGCTCCATGCTTGCCGTGGTATGGCGTCTGCACAGGTAACTCAGGAAAAAAGGCGCGAAACGATTGTCTGCCCTTGCTTTCGTGGAGGGAGGGAGGGAAGGGGGGCCTGACGATATGTACCCAGAACCACCCGTGACAATGTTTTAGCCCCATCGGGCATTGGGATCTCAACCCAGAATTCCAATGGGCAGCGGAGACCGCGGGAACTGTGGGATAGCTATCCACAGTGCAACACTCTGGAAGTCGACTCTAGCCTCGGTCTTGTGGAAGCACTCCGCCAAGTTAATGCATTTAATGCACTTAGAGCATTTTCTGTGGGGACACACACACTTGAATGTATAAAACCGATTTCTAAAAAACCAACTTCTATAAATTCGACCTTATTCCATAGTGTAGACATACCCTTACTGTCTTCTGCTTGGGAAATATTGATCTGCTCCAGGGGCTAAGTCTAAACATTCACATCTCACATCTCTTTCTGCACTTGTGTCTGAGCAGGGCTAGCAGCAGCCATGTCTGAGCGTGTGTGGTGAGCGTAGGTCGTCAGTTCCTAACAGAAAGAATAGTAGGCAGTTGAAATTCATTGCCTGGTGCTCTGGGGTGCTTATTGGAACCTCCCAAATCCCATCCCTAAATTCACCCTAAATGCACCACTACCATAGAAATAGATTTAGTCCCCTCCCACCCCATCAGTTTTTATTTATATCCTTTATATTTTTTTTTTCTTGTAAAGGTGGAGGAGGAAGCGACAGACAAGCATAACAAGAACTTCAGTAAAGACAATATGTGCAGCAAGGTAACTGGGGTGAAAGCAAACAGCATCTGGGCTCTCTGAGCCAGTCTGATTGCTGTACTGCGGACTTACTATTTACTTCCTGCTTCTCCATTCCAATTCCTGCTAGTGTAGAATAGCATTCATAATAGTGTCAGCTCGTCCTTAAAGGAACCTTGCAAAGCAAAACATTTCCTGCTGCTGTATGCTGGGGAGAGACTGCCATGCCGCTTTAAGAAATGTTCTTTGTTTCCTTACATTGGAAATATTTAGTCCTGATGGGTCCTGGACACTGGCAATCTTTGGAGGACCTGGAATGAGACTTTACCTGTGAAGCTGTCTCTACTCCCAGATGAGAAGGAAAGGGGGTCAGAAAGGAGCAGTAAAGGGGACACACATTTTTCAGTTTCTTTAAAGAACCAAAGACTAATCCTGGCAGCTGCATGCCAACTTTTACCATGGTAGTGCTGGAGGGGCGTTCTGGTACCACTTGATTGGCAGGTCCTGATCTCTTTTCCATCTCAGTAATCAAGGGGTTAATTGAATAGTGGGGTGGGGAAAACATCTTGTGTAGCTGAATCTTTTAAGTAAAGCCGCCCTGCTGTTGTCTGCTAAGCAGTTACGCTGAAGCGTTTCTCACTGATTCTACAGATTTTAGCCTCAAATTTTGCCCTCAGATGCCCCCAAGAAGTTTCCATTGCCTGACTGGGGTTTTCTATCTTAAGCCTAATCTATGCTTAAAATTTAGACTGGCGTAGCTGGGTCAGTCCGGGATGTGAAAAGCCACACCCCCATGCGGCGTAGCTGTGCTGACCAGTGTAGACACAACTACACCAGCAGAAGAGTGCTCCTGTCAACGTAGCTAATGTCATCTGGGGAGGCGATCCTATCCATTTGTCGGCGTGTGCTGTGTCTCTGCTAGGGGCTATGCTGGTGTAGGCGCTGTAGAGTAGACGTAGTTTCAGGGTTTTATTCTGCTGCCCCCACCTTAATATACAGTCCAAGTGTACGTGACACACATGAGCCAAACCCGACACTCGTCTCATCGTGTTGCGAGAGCCTAGGCCTTTTGTTTACTGCCGGAGTCCTGAGGCCCTCCCCTCACCCATTTTCTGCTCTGCTTTAACCTCTGGCTGTGGTGCGGTCTCCAGCCTTTCCGCTGTGCCAAAGCCTCCTGCAGGGGAATCTTTGACTCCTCATCTCACCGTTGCTGCCCTAAATGCGCTCGAGGATTCCTTAGTCCGCATTCTAAAGGAGGGTGATGAGTTCAGTTGAGGCTCTCCAGTGAGTACCAGTTCCTGTCTAGTTGCTTTGCACTCCTCCTTCTGGGTGAGAGCCCAGCCATTTCTACTGCTGAAGTAAAGGCCACTTGCAGCAGCTCTGAATGCACTTGACTCTGTCCCTCCCCTCCAGCTATATTTGGATGCAGCATCTGGTTCTGCATAGGCCTGTGCTGTTGACCTGCATCTCTGTGTGCCAGAAATCTTGCCAAGTGAAGTCTCTGCAGACTGCTGTGGCCTATTCCATATGTGCAGGGGTAGGGGGGGACACAATGAGCAGCATGGAATTTCCATACTTGATTTATTGGCCTGTAAAAATTGCTTATGACGTTTGTCTTTGCCCACAATGCCCCTTCTGGCTCTGGAGAACTCGGATCTAGATAATTCCCCTTGCTAAGCTTCCAGATGTTCTTGCATTTGTATACGATGCCTTCCACTTAATTGCTCGTAGGTCCTAAATTAAGGCACTAAGTCACTTAGACCTCCAAAGCAACACAAAAACGGCAGCTTCCCCTTTTTATTTAGCATTTAAGCAATGCCAGTGGCTGCCATTTAACGTCACTGTGGTTAGCTCAAATGGTACGCGCCGTATTCCCTGTGCTAAGCACGTGGGAATGTGAATCTCAGCCAGCATTAAATGTCAGGTTTGCCGTGGTGACCACTGGACAGCTGGAGTAGTCAGTTGCTGGCTGTAAAATGTGGTCAGTAATATGGCTAGAGAGAAGATTGCGATTCACAGTTACTCAGGGCTTAGGGTCCGTCTCCACTGCAATAAACATCTCTGAGCCTCTGCTGATTGGCTCAGGCTATGGGGCTAAAAATAGCTGAGTAGATGTTCCAGCTCTGGCTCGAGCCTGGGGTCTGAAACCTGGGGGAGGGTCCCAGAGCCCTGGCTCCAGCCCCAGCCTCTATACTGCTGTTTTTAGCTCCACAGCCCAAGCACTGTGAGCCTGAGTCAGCCGACCTGGGCTCTGAGACTCAGTGCCAGGGTTTGTCTTTGCAGTGTCATGTGCTGTTCAGGCTGTTAGATGCCCCCTTGTGACCATATGGAAGAGTAGATCAGTGGTTTAATTCAGTCACAAGGGTAACCAGCACTTAAACGCTGTGGTGATAAGCACTAAATTAGAGGAACTCTGGAGAGGGGGGAAGCAGCCTTGACTGAGGGAAGCCGTGTGTTTCCGTTCCCTCTGCCGGCTCCCAAAGCAATCCGCAGAGGAATCAATTCACTATTGAAATGCAGCCACCTCTGAGTGGGGATTGTGAGTGGACAGCCTGGGCACCAGGGCACAGTGGTTATGGGATTGGGAGGGAGGAGTTGAGACAAAGGACACCTGGGCAAAATCCTCTTGTGAGATTTTTAATGACCATTTGGCACAACCAGGAACTTTGGTTTTTAAATGCCTTGTTCAAAAGAATCAGTACAACAAACCACCCGACAATTGGATGAATTTGCTTCAAAGAGGAGCAAAGTGTGTGCAACCTGTCTGGATTCCCCTCCTTCCCTTTCTTGGGAGTTCACCTGTTTCAGGCCAGATGCTGGTTCCCCTCCAGAGCACGGCTTCCCATGTCCACTCGCTGACAAACCTCTAGAGAGATGGGAGTATAAACCCCTCCCCTTTATAACACACTGCCATGAGACCGACTGCAGCTTCCGCAAAGGCCCCCCCATGAATGGAAACCTCATCCTTGCTGGGGGTAGTTAAACTACAGCTGCACGCCCAGGGGGAGTCGATCTTTGCTGTTGCTGCCTGCCACAAGGCTGGTCCTCCAACCCTTGCTGCCAGCGATGGCAATTACTCATGGTTATTGGTGTCATCCATCCAGCCAGCTTGTGCAGCTGCTGCAGGGAGTGCAGCGGGAGCAGAGAATTGCAGCCTGCGCATCCCAAGGTGCTGGGGATTGTAGCTCCAGGTACCTGAATCAGTTCTGCACCCAGCACTGGCAAGGAATCAGTGTGTGTGTTTGGAGATCTGCCTGCTCTCAACCACCGCGCTGCTGTGTTCTTAGACAGACAAACCTAGGGTGATGGTGGGTTTGGGAAGCTGAGGGGGAGGCTGCCTCGTACGGTGGGCTAGAGCGCCAGTTGTTTCCCTCAGCAGTCCTGTCTGGATCTCAAGTGAACAGTCGATTGCAGAGCCTCCATTTGGCCTAGCTTCACTGCCAGGCTGTGCCCAGGATTGGATTACAGGGCTGGGGAATGGAGGTCGCGAGTGGGGCGTGACGTGCTGGCAGAGCTGGAATGGTCCAGGGGGCAGCAGATGAAGAATGAGGTGAATGAGGAGGGAGGGCAGGACTAGTGTAGCAGGTGGAGGAGCTGCAGGTCAGCACTGAGGAGCATTAGCGGAGCCTCATGTGACTAGCCCCAGGAGGTTTCATAGTCATAGACTGCAAGGCCAGAAGGGACCACGGTGATCATCTCGTCTGACCCCCTGTAGAACACAGGCCAGAGACTGCCCCAGAGAAATTCCTAGTGCAGAGCTGTTAGAAAAACAGCCAGTTTTGATTTAAACATGGTCACTGCCGGGGAATCCACCATGACCCTTGGGAAATTGTTCCAAAAGTTAGTTACTCTCCCTGTTAAAAACGTGCACCTTATTTCCAGTCTGCGTGTGTCTAGCTTCAACTTCCAGCCATTGGATCATATTCGACCTTTCTCTGCTAGACGGAAGAGCCCGTTAGGAAATATTTGTTCCCCACGTAGGTACTTACAGACTGTGATCAAGTCATCCCTTAGCGTTCTTTTTTTATTAAGCTACGTAGATTGTGCTCCTTGAGTCTCTTGCTATAAGGCAGGTTTTCTAATCCTGGTAGCCCTTCACTCATGGGAGGGACTTTAGTTTAGTGGTGAGACCGAGCAATGGGAAGGGGTCTAGAGTGGGGGACTGGGAATTGGAACTAAGACTCAGCGGTCTGTTCTTTGGTTTGCCGTGGACTCTTCAAGTGACGTTGGGGCAAGTCACCCTCTCTGTGCCTCAGTTTCCCCCTCTGCAAAGGAGGCTGCCCTCTGTCTAACTTGCCCCGAGAGGGTTGATGATTAATGAAGCTGCAAGAGCAAACCCAGAGGCTTACTGTAAGTAATATCTTGTTTTTAATTTCCCTTTCTTCTCTTTCAGAATATCTTTCAGATGGCCAGATCACAGCAGAGGGACGCCGCCACTTAGCCCCTCCTGTCGTGGAAGAACGTAAACCCCCCCAAAATTAACACTTAAAAAAAGATTTAAAAAATTCTGTTATTGTATTAAAAGCCCTTAAACTAAATATTATTAATAACAATACCATTTGTGAATTTCATGGTTATGGAATTAAGCAACTAGGAAAAAACCAGCAGGCTTATCAGAGTAACAAGAGGGGAAAACTTTTCAACAACAGACAAAATCCACCCAAGGGTATTCTGTTTTTCTTTTTTCGTTTCACTTGGGTCCTGCATTGGAAGACGGACTGTGCTTATATTATATTTTTTACAACTGGAAATAGAAATGCCATCCATTTGCACTGTTCAGACATATATATGTATGTATGTAAAAAAAAAAAAAAAAAAGAAAGAAAAAAGAAAGATATATATACAGAATACCCCACGTATATACATATATATCTATATATTTCTTTTAAAATTTCATATCAGCAGCAGTACCTTTTCTAAGCTTGCGTTTTTACACGCATCTCTTTCCTCCGAATCCATCGTGTTTTTTTAAAAACTAACTTTAATGGAAAAAAAAAAAAGAAAAAAAGTTACATTACAGGGAAATACCTCTCCTCTCAAAGGACCTTGACACGTTTACAGGCTTTTAATTTTTTTTTCTTTTCATTTTTCGCAATGAACCTTTTTAAGAAGTGTGTAAAGCAGCTGGCTTCAGAGCTAGTGGGACAAGGAGAGAGGGGATTTTGTTCACTGACGGTCTGATCCTGCATCCTTACCTTGGGTAGCATTTTTAAAATCAGTGGGGCTACTCACGGGTGTAAATGTTCACGAAGGGTGTGATGCTGTAATTGATGGGACTCTGTGACCGCTATGGGTAGGATGGATTTTGAGTTGGAGTCTTCCCATTGGCCTCAATGGACTTTGGATCAAAGCCCGAAGGAGCAAAATTCACCTCTGTGCCAGAGCCAGATTAAGGCCTATTCTCAGTGTAAGGCCCGCTGCAGCCATAGTTTGAAGGGTTAAGTGGAGCTGGGATGGTGCATAGTCCTTGGGCAGGCTCTCTGGTCCTCAGGCAGAGGTGTGAAAAGGAGAGCCCAAAGCAGAATTAGCTCCATCCAGCTTGGAGGGGAAGTGAGGCTCCATCTGTGGCTTTCCTTACTCCTTGATCAGATCTCTTTGGGGCGGGGTGAGACTGAGCCCAGAGCTGTCGCAGCCAAAGATCTGGTATCTTCCTGATGGGCTTTGGCTGCTCCTTGCAGCTTTCCAGGACAGAAGCAGCATTGTTTGGGTGCCGTGCTGACGCCTGTATTTCACTAGCAGTCGGTCGGCCCAGGCAGGGTGGGGGAGACGAGGTCTGGCAGTGCAGGGTGGCATCCGCGAGGAGGGACGGGTTTTAAACAACCCTGTCTCTGTGAGAATTTGAACTGTTCTAGCCAGCTAAGCAACAGCCTGGGTAATTGCTCTCCTTTCCTGCATGTGCCCTCCGCCTGCGCTTGAGCAGAGCTTAGTGTGGTGCCGCTTTCCAGCTTCTCCAAGCGCTTTTCAGTGCAAAGACTTTTCTGTAGGGGAGGGGGTTCTGGCCCTGTATAGACCAAGGTGTTATGCATTCCTACTGCTTCATCTCCCCCCGGCCCCAGGTATGTGGTTCTAGGACTGGATGTGGGGAGCCAGCTGCAGGTTGAAGGACCCAAGGAGGCAGCCGTAGGCTAGAGGACATTTGAGGTTAGTTCGCTAGTGAGCGGTCAGGTCATCCTTGTCGCCGCTCTGGCTGATTTATTGCCTCAACTGGTGTTTTGACAACTTCTTCCCGTGTTGATCTAGGCTGGGGTCCCTGTGGATCATAGTGGTAACTCTTCACTCGCCCATTCCAGCTAATGGCAACGGTGCCCTTGCCAGTGACCTGATCTGCTGAGTGTGGGGCCCAGCTGGCATGGCAGCAGTACAGAGCTCTGCCCTGTTGTGGGACTCAGTGGTATTGGGGGCCCTGCTCCTTGTCTTACCTTCTGGGCAGGCAGGGCCGGAGCACGGCACATTCAACTCCAGGGTGGGTCAAAGGGAGAGGTCAAACAGGCCCACCTTTTGATTCAGGAAGAACCTCAGAGGGAGCCTGGGGACCTTGAAGGCGAGAGGCTAGGGAGCGTGGGACTGAATGAATAGTCAGTGTAGACAGGAGGGGAAGAGGAGAGGGAAATGGGAGCAATGGAATTGGCTTACCATCTTCAGAAAGAAGTCTAGGACAATTGGCAACTTTCCCCTGAGCTGGGTTGTCTGTTCCCTGTGCATCTAAGAAGCTGCAAAGAAAGACTCAAAGCTGAAACATGGGCAGGGCTTCCTGCTTGCTCTAACTCAATAAACCTTTACCTTTAAGAATCAATCTCTTTAATAAAGCAGGATGACCCTTGAGGCTCGTGGTACCCAGCTTGCCACGTGTGGGATCTGACGCTGCATTTCATGGCATGAACCCAGTGTGGTCTGCCGGGAGGCTGCTTTAAACTGCGGGCCAGGAAATGCTCTCTAAAGATAGACCGTATCCTTCCAGTCACAAGTCGAAGCGGGAGCAGCGTCAGCCAAGGAGAAACCTTGGCCTTGCACTTAGAATCCAGTGTTCTGCTGGCCTCTACATTTTTACTTACAAACTTTGTATTTCTGGGTGTGAATTAGGTAGCTTAGGTACACTAGTCTGAGTGAGTGCAAAGAATTAAAGGCTGCAGTAGGAACTCTCTGCTTTAGATCTTGAACCAATTACGTGTCCCTTCTGCAAAGAAAACAAATTGAGCCGAGGAAGCTGGGTGGCTGTATAAGGGGCTTTAATACGTTAATCTGTTGGACGCCTTGGTGCACAGAAACCCGCCTCTTTTAATTTGGTATTGCTGGACGCAACCTAAGTATCTGGGCCAACAGGTTATGCAAACCAGCTTTTGTGCTCTGTAGATGGTGTGAGGAAAGCAGCTTCTAAGTTTTCTCAGTCAGAACTGGATTTGAAATGCACCTGGCTCACTCAAAGCTAGATGCTTATTAAAATAAGAAACTTTGTGGGGGTTAGTGCTTTTAGAAGCAGCTGAAGTCTACATTCAGGGCAGCTGCGAAAGCATTATCATTTAAATATATGGAGTTAAAGTTTTTGCAAATATCCCTCTTACTTCCCACCTCCTTTCCTGCTCTGTGGCCTCTAGATGCCCCAAGGCTTAATTCCCTCACATCCCTGAATCATTTAATTTAACACAACCCAGGGGTCACCCAATGAAATTAATAGGCGGCAGGTTTGAAACAAACAAAAGGAAGTATTTCTTCACATGATGTGCAATCAGCCTGCAAAACTCGTTGCCAGGGGATGTTGTGAAGGCCAAAAGTGTAACTGGGTTCAAAAAAGAATTAGATAAGTTCCTGGAGGATAGGTCCATCCATGGCTATTAGCCAAGATGGTCAGGGATGCAACCTCATGCTCTGGGTGTCCCTAAACTGCCAACTGCCAGAAGCTGCGACTGGATGACAGGGGATGGATCACTCAAAATTGTCCTGTTCATTCCCTCTGAAGCATATGGCACTGGCTGCTGTCAGAGACAGGGTACTGGCTAGATGGACCATTGGTCTGACCCAGTGTGACTGTTCTTATTTTCCAGTCCTGTGTACAGGGACATATTGCATGTGATGTAGGACCTACGTAGTGATGGAAACACAAAATACTGGTTGGAACATGCAGTGAATTATTTTTCACACCAACTTTAGATCTAAGCTGGTCAGAAACAGGGTGGGTTTGGGAAGCAATATTAGGTTTTCCCTGCAGTCCCAGGCTGCTAGTGGCTCTTTTGGGCCGCAAGATTCTTCTCTTTGTTATTTAAAAGAAACTTTTTGTATACTATAACACCTGTTACTCCATGCAGCAGAGAGTCATTTACAATATAGGGCAGCCCAAACCACTGGCCATGGGCAGATAATCCAAAGTTTGGAGGTGTGTTTGAAACCTGTTCAGATGGTGTGGGTGGGGAGGGACAGGTGCTGTTGGGTTAAGAATGCTTGTGCCTTTCCAAAGTCACTCTCCCCTAAAGCATCTTCCTGTAGGGCAGTGTTTGCGGTTTAGGCTGAGAGGGGTGTGCAGTTTGGGGTCTATCTACCCAACTTCCTGCCCCTCATTGGTGTTGGGAGCAGAATTGGAAGGCTATAAGAAAAGCTACCCACAAAAGGACCATCCTCACCCTTCATCAAATTCCATGGACCATCCAGCCATTCTTCGATAAGTTAGCTTCCTTGTTTCCCTTGGTTAATCCTTCTACTGCTATATTCCCCCCCCCCCCCCGAGGGAGACCTCTACCGCTGCCCAATCAGAACACTGAACAGCTGTTGTTGTTGGACCCTGCTGTTACCTTTCCAGGCGGCTCTATCAACCTCTGATGGCAGGAAGGCATTTTCGTCCTGCACAGACGGCCAGGTTGCCACGGCGCTAGGGATCGTGTGCCCCTCTGCCAGTTCAGTAGTGGGCGGATGGGCTGTCTTGCTGCAGTGTGAATTCTCCAGCACAGGAGCCTTTCAGAGCTCTTGGAGAAGTCCCCTTCGGTGTGTGAGGCAGGCAACTTCTTCTGATGGTTGGAGCAGGGCACTGGGAGTCAGGAGACCCGTGTTCTATTTCTGATTCTGCCACTGACTTCCCGAGTGACCTCGGGCTAGTCACTTCCCCGCTCCATGCCTCAGTTTCCCCACCAGTAGAATGAGGTGTTCGTACCCCTCTGTGTAAAGCACTTTATGACCCTTGACTGGGAGGCACTATCCAAGTGCGCAGCATTAGCCTCTCCCAGTAAATGACCCAAAGGACTGAATAAGCTACTGGCAATGTCTCCCGTGTGTATGTAGAGACGAGATTGTCTCAGAGCCCCAGTCTCATCAGCAATACCTTTCCTTCTGTTCTCATCAGAACAGATGGAATGATCTCAGCAGCAGTGTTAAGAGCCCCTCCCCGGTCTCTGTTTGTTGGGCTCGGCTACTCACATGACTCAAGTCATAGGAGTTCAACGGGTTTGTATGTCACAGGAACAAGCACTGCTTTTGGGAGCCTCTGGGGGATTCCATGTTCCAGCAGAGATCTGGGTTAGGGGGGAGGCTTGGATCCAGAGAGCTCTGCATGCACAGCCAGCTTTGCTTTGTTGACACTTCTCTGCACGCAACCAAGTACCTGGCTAGGGCTGAGGAGAGAACCCGAAAAGGCTGTTTGAGGGATGCTAAGCTAGGCTATTCCTCTGGACCAGCAGGAGTGGACGGTGGAGGTCAGACTTGCTCTGCAGTGTTATGTGAGGAATGCAGATTCTGTGCAACTTGTATTCTCCTAGTATTAGCTCCCTTGGCATCCAGTGTGGCCGTGAGCATGTCTAGATCTTTTCCTGCTGGGAAGGAAATAAGGGAGCCCCAGAGATCTGGAGCCACATTTGGGCCTGGAGGACCAATTATTGGGGTTATTGGGTGAAATGTGCTAGCTGTGTCATTGGACAGGAGCTGGTTTCCATGCGTAGGAGGGGGCAGTTTTCACTGCACGGGTTCCCCAAAAAGGGAGCCCCCCCAATGCTTAACTCTTTCATTCCCCAAACACCTCCCCTGCCTGTAATTTATTCAGGATCCAAGTCTCCCTTCCCTCAGTGTTGGGGTGCACCTTGAGAAGGTTTAACTTGCCTCTGCTTATTCCCTAAAATCCAGGGGTTGGGAGAAGGGAGATCCCCATATTCTTTATGACCCTTTTCACACAGGCAGTAGCTCTGTAATCAGCCATTGTGTTGCCAGGTTTCTCTCAGTCCACTGGATTTAGGGAAGGATTTGTGCCAATACTCTTGATTTTCCATAGCTAAAGGAGCCGGAAATCTCTTTGCAGCAGTAAGTTCTGCCGCAGGACCCATGTAAAAAACAAAAATGGAGCGAGAGCCATAAACATGAAATTTCACTGCTGACTGAAGTAGGTCGACTTAAGAACTAGTAACCTCCTCCAGTTGACTTCTGTGCTGTGACATTTAACCATTGTTAGGTATGTTGCTCATTCTGTCTGTTTAGAGAACTAGAAAGCGAGCACCTTTGCTCATGTCAGAGTGCCGGATTTGGGGGCCTGAGGGGGAAGAACTGAAATTTCCATTCCCATAGGACTGGTCCTGAAATGCTGGGTTTTTTTGTCTGTGTGTTTAAATTTTGAAAGAAACGGGTAATCTCTGTCAATTTCTCTTCCTTTTTTTTTTTTTTTTTTTAAATCTTTGGCTGATATTTGTCCTATTTTTGGTGCCATCAGAAATAAACAATGAGGCTTTCTCTCTATCTTAACGCAGGTCACTTTTTAAAAAGAGCCCCAGGGCATAAATGCAGCACCAGCCCTTCCATTTCCAGGCTCTTTACTTTTCAGATTTTTAAAAAAAATCAATTGATAGGCTTTGGCAGCTCTGATGTCAGATCTATAAGCCCGAGCACAAGTTAAATAGGTCAGGTTGCACTTGGTATAATAACTGCTTTCCTCAAATGCTCTCTGAATTAAATAGGTAGAAGATGCAGCTGATGAGGAAGCCTTAATTAGACAAGAAATAAACTTCTCAGCCCCCCTTCCTCCTCTGATCCTGATGGTTTGCAGTAATGGCCAGAGCAAGGTAATTGTTTCTTTGCTGTCTTGCAGATTTTTCTTTTTTGCTCTGTTTTCTCCACATTTATACAGACCAGATGAGGGAGAGAATATATTTTATTGGACCAGCTTCTGTTGGTTTCGAGCTTGCACAGAGCTCTACTTCAGGGTTGGGAAGCTAACTCAAAGCCAGATGTAAGAGCTCTTGATTTGAGTGGCTTAGATGGCCAAGTGCTCTCTGGGAAAATTACATTTTTATCTGTGCAAAAGCTTTTCACCCCCTGCAAACCAAAGTTGGTGAGTGATGCATTTATAAAAACCAATTGGTTTACAGATTATAACACACACACACACACACGCGCCTCTGGTTTGGAGGTGAAATGTATTATTAAAGCTGATGGCAGCCTAGCTCATGGAGACAGTTCTATTTTTCTAAACAAATTTGTATAAAGCCTCCACAGCCCTCGCACTTACTGAGTGAGCCTGGATATTTGGGGGAGCGGCAGGTGGTACGTTTTGCACCCAAGCAGGGTATCCAAGATGTAGTTGTCCTTCAGCGTGAGGCTCTTCTGCTTCCAGCTAACCCATCAGATTGCACTAAACCAGTTCAGCAGCCAGGTCGTTTGGACACAATACAGCAGCTTCCCATTAGCAGGAAGGCCCCTTGCTTGCTCCTGACACATCCTTCTCCCTTCTGGTCTGCAGCACCAGGCCCTCTCCTCTTGTTCATTCCTTGTGCGCTCCCCTGCTGACAGGTAGAGAGGCAGAAACTCTCTGGAACCTTACTGCTCCCAGCCTTTGGAGAGTCCCCACACCCCAGCCCAGTCTGCATGCGAGAGACGCTATCCTATCCCCTTTCTAGAGGGAACTGTATAAACCTGCATTTCAATAGAAGATGTTACCACAGCTTCAGAATTCAGCTTAGCAAGCACCCAGCTGCCGTGTCTGCTTTATCCCTTGACCGTCTCCAGCCACCATCCGTCTCTTCCTAGTTTAGATTCCAGCTGCTCCAGCTTAGAAGTTCCCTGACCTGTTACCTTGCACCTCTTAGCCAGTTGTAACAAACCAACTGCCCTGTAGCCAAGGCCACAGACCATTGTGTATGAATAAGTAGGCTGTTGCATTGAGCTTTCGGGGGGGAGGGAATCCGCATCTCAGTGCCCCCAATAGATCCCTTCCTCAGCATTTTATACCTTTCCCTGGCAATCCCTCTTCCACCCCAACCCTGGGTTGAAGCATGTTATACAAAGGTTTGTCCGTGGAAGGAAAGCAACAGATATAACAGCAATAATACATCAGTCAGAGCTTTTGATGTAAGGTGGGGGGGAGTGCCCCCTCCTGGGGGGATGGGAGGGGGATTGAACGGATGCCTGCTACTAAATTTACAGAAATTTTGTATCGTCCCCCCCACCCCCCGCTTTTTTTTTTTTTTTTTTGAGCCAGTAAAATAACCCAGGTTTCAATCCCGGGCACACTCGTTTTAATTTATTTGAGAGAACTCTAATTGTATTTTCACGGCAGTATCTTGTATTTTTTATTTTTGTGATTCAGAAATGTGAAGAAGAAAACAAAACAAAAAACCGATTGCTAACAGTGTTTCATTCCTTGTTCTATAGAGCTAATCACTCTAAAATTGTTTGGTAAAGTCACTTAGTGTAATTAATTGTAACATATTCTTTTAAATAAATTGATTTATTGATGAAACTACTAGTTAACCCTCTCCTGCCCCCTTTGTCTCTCTTGTGGGGGAGGGGCTATGAGGGTGGAGGGGCTGGGCAGGCCTGGGGAAGTGGCTGGGCTGGGGGGATCCTTGCCCATCTGTGGCACTTGCTCTGATCTGGTCCAAGGCACCTGTGGGGAAGCGAGCAGAGAAACAGCCTCAAGGGCCTGTACAACTGCCCCATCTGCCATGGGCCTAGATCCTGCTGGCTGGGGGACTGGAGGCCCCACTGCCCCCCCCCCCCCAGTCAAGCCCCATCTCCCTATGGTCCGTGCCATTCTCACACCTGCCCCTGGCGAGGACAGGGCCCCCATTTTGCCCCCTGGCCCTGCCCCATTTCCCCAGTGAAGACAAGGCCCCGCCTTCCAGTCTCAACCCCTCCCCCTTCCCAAGCTCCACCCCATCTTCCCAGTGAAGACAGACCCCGCCCTTCAGTCTCAAACCCCGCCTCCCCTGAGCTCCACCCCGTGGGAGGTTCTTGGGATGCTGCGGTGGCATGCCTGGCTCCTGTGCATGAAAAAGCTGGGGGAGATAGTGAGCAGACCCCGCTCCCCCTCCCCCCAGCTGCCAGTGGCCACCTGGGCTTCTCTGGCCTGGAGGAACCACTCCCCACCGGCCAGAGCACAAGGCCCATCATGACGTGACACCTAGAGGAGCCCATGGGCAATGGAGGGGGACGGCGCCTCCCCCAACGGGACAGCAATCTAGGGTGCTGTGGGACGCCACTTGACTGCTACCACCTCTGCACAGTGGCCAGGCCTCCTTCGGAGTAGGGGGCCAGGTGTGTCTGGCCTTCCTGGGAGTGGGGGTGTTGCCAGCAGCCAACCCTTATGGCCGGGGCGTGGCAGAGGAGCTGGGACAGGAGTGGCACTCAGCTTTTGGACACAGCTTGTTAGACCAATGATTTGACGCCTGCGGGATTTCAGTAAAACCTGAACAGTGCAGGACTGTACCTGAGGTGCATGTCCCCTCCTCCTCCCCCACAAGGAGCTGCTACCCTGGGAGGCTCAACCAGCTCTGGCTCCCTCTCGCACAGCTCTGCTGATGCCCCTCAGTGCCAGCCAGCAGCCCCCAGATGCCTGTTGCGTAAGTGCTGAAGAAACAGCCTCTTCTCCTCTGCCCACAGCAGGTGCCGTGGGACGCAGCCAGGGCTCTGTAGAGGGAAGCCCAAGCTCTCAAATCTCCATAGGGTAGTTATGCAGGGTTAGGGCTACCCGGGCATGTGTATGTGCAAGGGTGGTGGCTAGCCTCACACAGAGGTGACCAGGAGATGGATGGAGCGGAGCAGGTCCCGAGGAAGAGGCCGGTTCTGCTGAGGTCCGAGCGTGTCCATTACAGGCTACGTCCATGAGTTCCTGCCGCCTCCGAGACCATCACAGCAATCAAACCGGGCCCAGCACCTGGAGCAGATGGTATTCCTGCCAAGGTCTATAAGCAGGGTGGCCACCACACTACAGGGCACCTCCGCATTCTCTGGGAGCAAAAGTGAGGTTTTACATGCCAACATTGTCAACCTATAAACGTGAGGGTGATTGGGCAAACTATGGCCTTTCCTTCCTCTCTGTCGCTGGGAAAACCCTTGCACAGTCATGTTGACTAGCCTTAACACCGATCCTTCCTGAGTCTGTGGATTCTGGGCTGGATGAGGCACAATGGACGTGACCCTCACGGGCCTGCCAGCTGCAGGAAAAGTGGCGGAAGCAAAACCGTGATCTTTGTATGTTTTTTCGACTTAGCTGATGCTCTAGTCTGAGTAAGTTGTGAGGGGCTCTGGTAATGGTTGTTATCTTTGGATGCCCTGCAAAGTTTATTTCTGTCATTTGGCCCTTCCATGGTGGGATGACTTTGGACCCCTTCCCGGTCACCGGTGACACCAAACATGGTTGTATGCTGGCTTGCACATGCTTTTTGCATCCTTTTTTGGGCTATGCCTAAGGATACATTTCATGAGACAATTGACAGAGGAGTCCAGAGCTAGTTCCCCACTGCGAGGGAGTTTTTCAACCTGCAACGCTGCCGTGCTCGCCTGAAAGTGGCAGATTCACCCATCAAGGAGCTTTTCTTTGCTCACGGCTGCGCACTGTTCACGTGCTCAGTTGATGTCCGGTTTATAGGAGAACACTTTGCACATGCAGTCAATTGCTTTGGTTTTACGATCAGCCTAAAGAAACCTGAAGTATCCACCTGTGCTGGGGGCTAGTGCGTCTCGCTGATTATTAAAATCAACAACGTTCTCACAGACTTGCCTTGGCCGCATCTGGGGCGCTGTTGCACCAAAATAGACACTGAGCACACTGTCTGCTGGGCTGCCGGGCTCACGCAACGCTGCTCGTTGGCTGTGCGAGATGGACAGCGTAGGGTCACCACCCGAGGACCCTGGATCGGTCCCACGTGTGCCATCTCTGCAGGGTCGAATGGTGGGACAAGATTCCTAATAGCACAGTCCTCAGGCGCTGGTGGATGGCCGGCATTCAAAACACGCTCGGAAAAGCTCAGCTGTCTCATCCTGAGCATCTCGTTCATCCGGCCGCTTCGAGGCTCCTCCAGGCCATATTTTGTGAGCGGCGGAAACGGGGCACCTGTTCTCGTGGCGGCTGGTACAAGCATGTCAGGCTCACGCCAGCAACAGCAGGTTTGCCATGTCTCCGTTAACGTCACCGCAAGGCGCATTAACACCAGGCGTGCCCGGCGCGAAGCAAGGATCCGACAGCCTGCAGTGGTCGTGGATGGTCCGGGCTGTGCCACGTGTAACTGTGTGCGCTGGCCGTGGACCTGGTCACCTGTCGTGTTTGCTGGGCCCTCCTCCATCACCAAGCGACCTGAGACCCCACCAGCATCCACGCTTGCAGGCAAGACTTGGGAGAGTGGCGCAAACTTTGCCCTGCGCTGCCATCTAGTGGAGCCCCTTGGTACCTTGCTCGGTCACCCTTGGCACCGAGGTGATGTTTGGAAGGCGCATCCTCGTGTATTGCGGGTGGGCAACATCTGGGGGCGTACGTGCTGTGCGAAGGCATCTCATTTAACGCCTGTACATCATACGGCAACTCGGTCTTGGGCACAGCCAGGGGCCCCCCGCAGCCTGCTCAGGAAGTGCCCAGGTTGTTGTCGGAGATGTCAGTGAGCTGCTGGAGATGCCCTGCCCCTGGGGGGGGCGCTGTACCACTGGGGGGGTGCTGTGGTGCTCTGAGGCACTGTGCTGCAGGAGATGCCCTGCCACTAGGGCGGCATCATCTTTCTGATGAGACATAACCCTGATCTAGATCTCAGGGCGCTTTGCACAGAAGTCAGGAGTGAACCCAGCTGTCCTGGGCCAAATCTCAGCTCTGCCAATTAATTTTGGGCTCATCAGATGCTCCCTCCGAAGACTGCCGCCTTCGCTTCCTGGCCTCAGTGGTTGCATGCCAACCATCAACACACACTTTCTCCCTCCCACCCCACCTCGCCACGGCCCGAGCACGCGCAGCATTTGAAAGGGCCCGTGGTTCCTTTGTGAGCAAACAGCTGCCAGGGGAGTGGGCTCCCCGGGTGTTTTCAGAGCCATCACCCCCCCGCCCCCCAGCTGCTGCTCTCTCTGCGGTCGCTGGTGTGGGGCGGGAGGGGCCCTTCATCAATCCTGACTCAAAGGCAGCAGTAGCCTGGCACTGCCTGCATCATGCACTTCCAAAGCCTGCCTGCCCCCCAGGCAATCCCATGCATCTGTCTCTGGGTGGGAGCATTCTACAGCCAGCTATTGCCACGCCAGCAGCTAGCAGTGACGCCATGCGCTCTGCAGGGCTGGAGCTGAAGTGTTACAGCAAGGGGTCTCCAAGTGGTGCTGTGACACACAGTCTTGCGAGTTCTTTGTGAGCAAGTGTTTAGTCTCAGGAGAAATGCTGCATCACTGTTAGTTTTGTTTGGGTATCGCTTTTTGGGGAGCTGTTGCAAGCAGCAGGGGGTGGTGTCGCTTTCTGCCTGAGACTCTGTGCCTAGAGCCAGCGTGACGGTGTGACGCAGCAGGGAGAGGGGAGTGTTGACCTGGGAATTGCCCTGGGGATGGGAGACCTGAGAGCCTGTAACCTGAGCGGGGAGGGGGAGGTGACACCTCTGCCCAGGAATGTGCTCAGAGGCTGGAGAAGGGATCCTGCTGGGGGGGTTTAGTTTCAGTTTGGGGCTGGGGGGGGTGGAATGCAGGGAACCCCAGGGCTGGGGTCTAAGCTCCCTGCTCCCCCAGAAGGGCTTGACTGAGGGGTCCTGGTTGTACCCACAACCCCTATTTTGGACTGTGTTCCTGTTGTCCAATAAACCTTCTGTTTTACTGGCTGGCTGAGGGTCTCAGTGAATCCCAGGAAGAGGGGTGCAGGGCCTGGACTCCCCCACACTCTGTGACAGCCAGTTCTTGGGCAGCATTGCTCCTTGGGGGTGGGATACTGGTACTTCAGTTGAGGTTCCCGAAGCCTGTATGCTCTTTTATTGTTCTGGTGACTTTCTAGACATGGGGGAGTTGGGATATGCAGCTGGGAGCCTTGAGCTGATCAGTGCTGTGGGCAGGTGGTCTTGTATTATTGGAACGTGGGTTTGGTTTAACAGAGTGGGTGTTTCAATGAAGTGGGGATGGTCTGGTGGGCAATGCAGATACAGCAAATTAGATGCGGCAGTGACCTGGGGCTCAGGACTCCTGGTTCCTGGCTCTGCCACTGAGCTGACCTTGGACAAGTCACCTTCCCCTTGCTGTGCCTCAGTTTCCTGTGCCACCTTTGTCTATTTAGATTGTGAGCTCTTTGAGGCAGGGATTGTCTCTTGGTCTGTGCAGCACCTGGCACAATGGGGCCCTCATCTCAATTATTTTGTGTCTGCTGCCCTGGCAGGACGGGGCCCTGATACTCTGTGTCTGGGAAGTGCCGGGCATGGCAGGGCCACGATCTTGGTTACTCAGTGTCTGGGCAGTGCCCGGTGTGACAGAGCCCCAATCTCAGTTATTCTGTCGGGCAGTGCCTGGCACGATGGGGCCCCGATCTCGGTTACTCTGTGTGTGGGCAGCGCCCCGCATGACAGGGCCCCGATCTCGGTTACTCTGTGTGTGGGCAGCGCCCCGCATGACAGGGCCCAGATCTCGGTTATTCTGTGTGTGGGCAGTGCCCCGCATGACGGGCCCCGATCTCGGTTACTGTGTGTCGGGGTAGCCCCCGGCACGATGGAGTGCCAAGCTCAAGTTGCCCTATGTCCGTTACTCTGGAATCTTGATGGGAGCTCTCAGCTGCATCTGGTTTTTGTTTTGTTTTTTAAAGCCACTAATAATATTAAAAACCCAGCCATGGGGCCCTTTCTTTGATTTTACTTCTTTTATTTAGACAGAAAAAAAATTAAATTATTTAAAGTAAATGGCAATAAATAACAAATAAGTTAAGCATCGATATCGTCTGAAACATAGACTTCAACTTTTCTTTTCTTTTTCCCCACTAAAAGTTGTATTTTTTCCCCTCTAAATAAAAGTACCAGGTAATAAACCCCCTCCCTCTCACCCCCCCTCCAAATAAAAAGAAAAAAAAAAGAAAAACCATTAAAATTCTCTAAAATTGGAGAGGAGAAAATGGCAGCAACTTGAATCCTTTTGGATCACAGCTAATCTCAACGAAATTATTTACAATTACTGGATTAGCAGGAGACTGTAAACATAGTTTTTTTTCTTCTTCTTCTTCTCTTTCCCATGGTATAGGTTGATTTCAGAGCGCAGTAGAGATGAGAGGTTGGTCAGCATGTAGAGTATCATGATATTTTACAATTGCCAGATGGGGAGGGCCTCAAAACAAAATGGCTGGAGAGGAGAACTAAGGCCAGGAGAAGCGTAATTTCTGACCCGGAGCTGTGAGAGAAGGGGAGCAGCCACCCTGCAATCTCTTGCTGGAGTAACTTTACAGCTGGGCTCGCTTTGGGGAGCAGCCTGACCTAGTGGCTTGGAGGCTGGACTAGGAGTCAGAAAACCTGGGTTCTGGTCTTGTCTCTGCCCCTGACTGTGAGCAAGTCATGGCCCCTCTCTGTGCCTCGGTTTCCCCTCCCACTCTTTATTAAAGTCTTCCAGGAAGGGGCTGTTGCTCACTGTGTCTGGGCTGTGCCCAGCACAATGGGGCCCTGATCTCAGTTACTCTGTCTCTGGGCAGTGCCTGGCACGACGGGGCCCTGATCTTGGTTACTCTGTCTCTGGGCAGCGCCCGGCACAATGGGCCCTGATCTCAGTCGGAGGTGCCAGAGACTGTGACAGCAGAAGTATCACTTTTGAGCATGCCGTTACTCCTAAGCATAAACCATCGCAGGCTCAGGACTGCCTCCCAGGGCAGCCAGCTCGGTTTCAAGCGCAGGGCTGGATTTTTCAGAGGGCTGCTGTGTGGAACAAGGGAAACGGGAAATGAGCCCAGGACGGAAGGGGAGGAGATGCCGCGGCAGGTCAGGGGGCAGCCGGCAACCATTTGGGGGCTCTTGGGGCTGCATCCTTAGTCAGAACTCTTGCTTCGGATGGCGCACAGAGAGTTTCTTAGCCTTCTGCCACGCAAAGGACATTGTGGCTCTTAATGGGGCGCGGCGGGAGGTGGAATTGGCTTCTCTGGCTCTTCCTGCCCGGGCCAGGATTTGAAAACAGCAAATTTTTAACCATAAAGGAGGAGAAAATCCACGTGGCGGGACAACTGGATGGGAACGAAGCAGTGGCTATGGCCTGGAAATCCACGAAGGGGGCTATGTCTGGGCCGTGGGCTTAGGGAGCTGATTGTGCGTGGGGCGGGGGGCTTAGAGTGTCTGAAACTTCCTGCCTTGATTGGCAGGGGAGTGGAGGTGGGATATCAGCCCTGTGGAGGCTGGGGGTGGGTGTCCCGGTTTCGCTATGTTAGCTCTCAGGTGCCTGCTCAGTGTAGGAGCTGCTGCCCATCCCTTCCTTCCCCCAGCTGTGAGCCCCAGTGCCCGTGGCTTGCCCCTTGATGCCACGCTGAGGGATAGAGGTGGGGAAGACACGGTCCTTTCCTTCCCCCCGCCTCCGGGCCTCAGCCAGTCCAGTGCCACATGCCTCAGCCCTAGTGCCCATCCCATGTCTCCTCCGCGGGGCCAGGTGGTAATAAGCCGCAGAGGCAATAAGAGAGCCCGGGTGGGCTTGGGGCGAGGCTCCGGGACGGAGGGGAAGACCAGCTTTAATCACCCCTCCCCCCCCACCAGCATTCCCACCCCCGGCTGGGCACGGTCCCCCCAGGCTCCTGGGTCGACCAGAATGGTGGTGGAGGATCCCATCTGCTCGAAGCAAGAGGAAGCAGGGCCCCTGGCTGTAATGGAGGAAAATGACATACCGGTGCCCCGCATGGGCAGCCCACCACCGCTGGACTCAGAGGCACCCAGCTCTGGCCTGTGGTGCCCTCTGTTAGCTCTGCTTCCCCCCACCCCCCGCCCAGCTTGTGACTGCAGCTTCCCCAGTGTGTCCGGCTCCCCCCCTCAAAGGCCTCGGGTACTTGGAGCCGGTTTTGGTCCTGTTTGGTGAGAAGAAAGCTCAAAGGATGGACACCCCCCCCCCGCCTTCTAGCTGGGCACAGGGACAGGGCCCTTCTCTTTCCCTCCCACCTCCAGGGCAGGATCAAGCCCTCCAGCTGATTCCCTAGGGCTGTGCCCTGTCAGCCCCGTTCCCCCCCACCACCACCACCTGGGCTATGGTGGTAGGAATTCATGGCTACCGCTGGGGCGGATCAGTGCTGGGGGGGGAGGGGGCTCCTTTCCCCCCCTCCCTCCACTGTTGACAAGGCATGGCTGAGATCACAGGTGAAATCCCCCCCCCCCGACAAGCTGCAGGCTGCTGGTGGGGCTAGGCGCAGCCCAGGGCCGATGGGTGGAGTCAGGCGCATTCGGTTCTGCCGAGCGGGTTCATCCTCCCAGTTGGCGGATCAGGCGCTCGGGATCGGTGCTGCTGGCTAGGGATGAGCTGCAATGGGTGGGGGCAGGGGGGGACGGGCCTGGTGGGGGCAATCCAGGGGCTCCCTCCTCCATTGAGCTCCAGACCTGGGGGGGATGCGGGGGGGGGGGGCGGGAAGGAGGGAGGGGCGAGAAGAGAGAGAGGGAGAGTTAAAGGCGCCCCTAGCCATGCTCCTCCAGCCCAGAGCGTGGGGGTCGGGTCGCAGGCTGGGACATGCACAGAAGGGCACCAGCCGGTTCGATTCCCCCCACGCCCCAGAGGTGGTGAAATTTAGACACGGGGTGGGGTTGCTTGTCACCCCACTGCGAAGGGTGGGCTGGGACTTTGGGGGTGGGGGGTGGAATGAAGGGAGGAAAGGGTGGTGGGTCAGAGGGGGGATGATGGCTGGGTTACCAGGTGCTGTCGGTTGGGTGCGAGTGGCACCCTGAAGCTGTTGAGGGGAACCAAAGGTTGGGATAGCAGGGGGCTTGAGTTGGCACCGAGGGGCATCAACAGAGCTGTGGGGGGAGGAGAGCCGAGGCCTGGGAGAGCAGGGGGCTGTGGGTCGGGAGTGAGGGGCATCAGCAGGGCTGTGTGCAGGGGCCATGGTTGCAACTATTTGAATATTACAGCTGAAATCCAGGGATTGTCCTCTCCTCCCGGCCCCAAGGCCGCTGACAGGGGACCGTCCCCCCGAGGGGTTGGCGGAGTGTGGGACCAGCCAGCTAGGGCCCGTCACCAAGTTGCTTGCCGGGTGCAGCGCAAAGGGGTTCAGCTCTGCCTGGGCTCTCGTGGGCCTCACCAGCCGCTCGCTCCGTGGGACCAGGGGCCTGGGCAGAGCCAGGGAATGCTGGGCCCTGCCCTGCTGCTACGCGGCCAATCGTGCAGCACCTCGCACAATGGGGCCCTGAGTCCTTGGGCCCCCCACAGCCCAAATAACCCCTCCCCTCCATCCCCCTGGCACTGCACTGAGCTGCTTCTCCCCCCCCCCCCAGGTTAGCCCCCCAGAGGGGACACCCCTGCAGGAGCGACCGGGGTCATTCCCTCCAGGGGCACTGGCTGGCTGGTGGATCCTCCCAAGAGAGCTAAGACATCTGACCCCGACCCCGCACCCCATAAAGCCCAGTGCCCAAAGGGGGTGTGTGTGTGTGGCACGTCCCTTCGCTGAAAGCAGATTCCCCAGCACAGTCACAGCACGAGATCACTGGATGACATGGCCTCTGAGCTCAGCTGGGGGGGCTGTGTCAGTCGGGGGCTCTGTGGCCTGCACCCCCTGCGGCCGTGGGGAGGCCTCGCCCAGCCCACAGTGACTCCATGGGCTGGAGCTAAACCCAGCCCCGCCCGCCCGCACTCACCATGGCCTGCCAAGGGCCACACAACAACGTCCACCCCAGTTGTAACCCCCTGGGCTGGTTGAATTCCCAGACACGGGCCCCCCTCCCCCCAGCACTGCACCCGCAGTGGATGCTCCTTGGGCACCTCTGGTTGCTGAGTAACAGCCAATCAGGACTCTCCTTTAGCCAGGCTGCCAAAGGGGGTGCGGGGTGGGGAGGGGTGCTGGACTCATGCCAGGGATGGAAGGGCAAAGGGGGGGGATGTTTGTGTGTGTGTGGGGGGTGATGTTGGGGTCAGCTATAGTAGAGAAACTCTGGGAAGGGGGAGGAAATTAGCACCGCGTGGGGGGGGGAGGGTGTGGGCCAGAGCTGCCAATGCCAAGCTGGTGGGGGCCACCACCTCCTGCCTGCCCCTTGTCCATGCAGCCGGCACTAGCAGCTGTCAGCTGTGTGTGTGTGTGTGTGTGTGTGAAGTTGGCCTGAGCCTGCAGTGTATGGGGGGGGAGGATCGTGTCCAGTCACAGCTGTGTTGGGGGAGGGGTAGGCACCCCTGGGTGGGTGAAACCCAGTTCTGGCACTGATCTTACATGTGTCCCTGGGGCTTACAGACAGTCCCAGTCCTAGGAGGTGCTGGTAAAAGGGGGGGTGTGCAACCCACCCCAGGCAAAGGGGGCCGAGTGGGGCATCTCTCCCCAGGTCTGTTTTAGGGTACAGCCTCCTCCCCCCCCCCCAAGCTATTCTCTCAGGGAGATCCAAGCCTGCAGTGCTGCAGGGCATCGGCTGGACTCGTGGCCACCCTGTTCTCAGAGGGGTGTGTGTCTTGGGGGGGTTGGTTCCAGAAAGGCCAAGGCCTGGCCCAGCAAGACACCTATGGGTGTGACCCTGTTGCCCTCCCAGGAGGCTGGGCACCAATGTGCTGCCAGGCTCTGACCAGACCCTCCCCTGCCCCATGCCCATCTCTGGCAGACGGGGGGACCCTGGAGCCCTGAGGGATGGTTCATTAGAAGGATGGTGAGGAGCCACTATACAGACCCCTTCCTGACCCAGGGCTCGAACCCAGGCGTCTTGATGCCCAGCCCCTCCCCCAATCACTACAAAGCCTCCTGCATGCGGCTCACTGCATGACACGGATCATGTTTCCCTTTTGACTCTGCTGTCACTTGGACCTGAGAATTTCCCCCCGCCCCACCTCCTCCTCTAAACTTCGTGCAGTGGGGCTGTGCAGTTGTTAACCAGCCCCTGTGTCCCACTCCAGAGGCAGCTGCATTTTACTCGTGTGCGGGAGAGGTGCACTCTATATAAACAGCTGCCATGCCCTGCCCCAGCCTGGCTGCATTGTAGCAATGATGGCCTGATCCCCTCCATAAACAGCGGCCATGCCCTGCCCAAGGGGTGGCTGCATTCTAACAGTGGGTGCATGAGCTCCATATAAACAGCTGCTGTGCCCAACCACAGAGGACATGCCCCACTCTCCTCTGCCTATTTCCTGCACAGCAGCTAGAGGCCTGGGAGACAGGAAGAGGGGGTCGGGGAGGGTTTCCTACTGTGGCCTGGGTAGCCCCTGTGCCGTGCTGCTGTGTTGGGAATCCAGCTGGCAAAGAGGGAGGTGGAAGGGACCCCCCCACCCTGGGCCTGCAAAGAGGCACTTTAACCCCCCCAAACACACACACACACAACGCGCAGAAACGAGCCCGACCCCAGGTCAGCTAAAGCCAAGAAACAAACCAAATGAGCAGCAAACGTGACACAAGCAATGACCCAGTGACCAACAAAAAAATGCTCTAAGAGATGGGGTGAGGGGTTGGAGGGGGGTGGGGAACAATCAGACCAGAAAAATAACAGAGGAGGGACTGAACTAGTAACTAGGAAAAGAGGACTTCTACACTGGTTTGGGTTTTGCAGCTGGTGAGGGGAAGACGGTTTTTTTTTTTTTGGACCGGGGGATTTCACCGAACGAAAACTACTGTCCACTGAGACCACCATCAAGAAAAAAGACCTCACAGCACAGCCAACCACCGCTACGGCACAGGGACGTCATGCACCCGCTAGCTCCGCTCACATGACGTGTGTCCAACCACCACGAGCCACAGGGGACAAGGAAGCGGAAGAGTCTCGCGAGCGAGATCAAGATACATCACTTCGGTCGGTCCAGCAGATGCCACTTACAAGGGGGCGGAGCTACGGCTCTTGTGACAGCGAGGGATGGCTAGCGACAGAAGCATCTCAAGATATGATTGGCAACCCTGCCGGGGTGGGGGGGGGTTAAAGCAGCAAAGAAAGAAAATGGGATTTGGGATTTGTTTTTGTTTTAAATAAGAAAAGGGAAAAGGTCAAGTCAGCTCTGTATGTAAATCACCTTGTTTCTTACACAGTAAAAGAGACAAAATATGGTTTTTTTGGACAATTTCTCCCCCCCGCCCCAAACCCCTGCACCAGGGATGTCACCGCTGGGAACTGATGTGTTTTGATCTGTTGTGTGTCTGGGAATGTGCAAAGCCCCCGCACTGATTGGGGGAGGCCAGTGCTGGGAACCCATCAAAGGCCTGGCTTGCCAGAGGGCTCAGCGCTTTGATGGGGGTCTCTCATTTGGCTATGCAGTCTCACTGGCTGCTTTGCCAGACGTTGGCCCTGGGGGGGGTCTATTCCTGGTTCCACTGAGCTGTCGGCTGACCCAGGACAAGCCACTTCTCTGGGCCATTTCCCCTTTGCCTAGACAGAGCTCTTTGGGGTGGGGCGGGGGGGTCTGCCTCTCCCTCTGGCTGTGCAGTGCCTGGCATGCGCTGGTCTACAGCCTCAGCCTGGTGCCGCAATACAGAAAATAGCGTTATCATGGAGCTGGGTGTTTGGGGTCTGTCCCAGTGTGGGGTGATAGTGGTGAGGGGGGATGTTCCCTGGGAAGGGAGCTCAGAGAGGGGCTGACGCCTTCTAACCCTAAGGGGGGGGGGCGTTGCCTAGCCCCACAGTCACTTGATGGTCCAGGCTCACTGGCCTCCCAATTGCCTCTCCCCTGCTAATCCTCTTGCCTCCTTTTAACCTGACCCTCAGCTGGCACCAGGCCTGATGGACAGCGTGCGAGTGATGGGGGCTGGGTACTGTGGGGGCGGGGGCAGGTGGGTAGCAGACGCTTAGGGGAGGGAGCCTGTGAGCCTCAGCTCCATGCCCCCGCCCCATTCATGCCCGAGCCTCCTTTTGTCCCAACAAAGGAGGAAAAAAAGATGAAGAAAAAAAGAGAACGAGAAAATAAACGGATGGGAAAGAAAGACACGGCTGATGGGAAACAGGCACCCTCATGCCACATGCAGCGGGCGTGCCTCATGCCAGCTGGCTGGCTTGTTACCGCACCGGGGTGGGGGGGCGTATGGCTCTTGGGGAGGGTGCAGGGCTCCGGTGACAGCTCGTCCATGCCCCGGGCACTGTGCCCTGTGACCAGGTTTCTCCAGCAGCTCTGGCGGGTGGAGAGAGAGACACAGAATAGGGGCGTCAGGGACCCTGCTGAGAACGGCCCTGGGTGAAATGGATAGGATGCTGGGGGGATGGGGTGTGGGCCCTGTGGGATCTCGGGCTGGGGTGAGGGACTGGGACCAGGGTGAGGGAGGCCTCCATGCTAGGCCTGCTGTCCGGTAGCAGGGTGCTGGGACCAAGCTATCGTCCAGGGGCACGGAGCCCCAGAGCCGGGACCTGTGTGCACATTGGTGGCCTGATCTCACCCCACGGCAGCAGGATTAGGTCCCCCCTTCACTCCCCTGGGGCGGCTTTCTGCCCCATGCTGGCATATGGCCAGAGCAGCCGGGCTCCAAATCTGGCCCCCGGGCCCGGAGCCTGCCGGCAAGAGCAGGCAAATGAGGCCTTTGCAGGGGCTGAGCTGAATCTGGTGCTAACCGACGAGGGGTGACTGAGAGATGGGGTCAGCAGGGGCTGTTTTGTATCCCCACCCCCGCAGCTCTGCCAGTGCCCCTCACTCCTGTTCTGCAGCCCCCTGCTATCCTAGCCCTGGGTTCCCCCTCGTGGCTTTCCTCTCCTCACCAAACTGTGTCAGACAAATGCCTGTAATCCAACCCGCCCCGGTCTCCCCAGCAAGCAGCTCTGTCCCAGTGCCCACGTTTCCCCCTGCACACCCTGAGGCTGGCGTTTCCACACACGAGGGCCCAGGCCAAGGCCCAGGCATGATGCCAGAGGATGCTGCGGGTTCTCTTACCCTCAGGCCATTCAGCCAGGGGGGGGCCGAGCCTGGCTTGTATTTGTAAATTTCAGCCTCAAAGGTCCCCCCTGCTACCCTCAGGACTCATCACCCTGCAAAGCAAACCCCATTGGCTTGGTGAGCAGGGCACTTCCAGCTCCCCATTTCCTGTGTGAGTCCCTTCGGGGGCAGGCACCCAGCCACTAGGGTCCCCTGGTCCCGGTCTGTTCAGCCTAGATCTCCCCTGCCTCTGCTGACCGTGGCCCAGCGGTGCAGAGAGTGTGCAGCGACTGTGGCATTCTCTAGGCACCGAGAAACAAAGGATGGGCTTGCAGAGAATGGCCTGAGCTGGGATCCAGAAGACCTGGGCTCAAATCCCTCCTCTGCCACAGATTTCCTGTGTGACCTGGACACTTGTGACTTTTGTTGTTCTGTGCCTCAGTTGCTCATCTGTACAATGGGGTCAATAATCCTGCCTCTCCCCTAACTTCATTTGTTTAGAGCATAAGCAACTTGGGGCAGGACCTGCCTCTCACTGTTTGTGCAGCACCTGTATGATGGGGCCCTGCTCTCAGTCGGGGTCTCTGCAGAGCCTGGCACAACGGGGCCCCAATCTTGGCTGGGATCTAAAAGCTAATGCAATGCGGATTACCGTAAATCCTTAAAGAAATGGAGCCTGTCACTGCAACGCAGTTGAGCCCCTCCCTTGGTGGTGTCCCTCTGTCTCTTTTATGTGCAAAAAAGAAACTACGTTCAATGACAAAGACTCCACAAAACAAATGACCAAGCAAAAACCAAACCAAAAAACCAAACCAAAAATCAAACCAATGCAGAACGAGAAAAGACCCCGTGAGCCACGCACGGAGAACAGTTATCAGAACAAAAGCAGGATACGTTCACGTGCCACGACACACACAGACACGCACAGAACCCCCCCCCCCCCGCCCCACGCTACGCCGCGCTGGGGGTCTTCACCTGGCTGAGACAGGGCTCTGTGCAGCACAGCCGGAAAGAACTGCTAGCAGGAGGTTATGTTCTTCTTTCTTAAAATACAGGGTGAAATTCTGTTATACAGATCTCTAAGATAGTGGGGGTGGGGGGGGGGGGGCGGGTCAGGCTACATGCGTGTTAGCTATGGCGATATAGTGCATTATTTGTGCGGGAGAGTGGAGTGGAGCAGTATTATCACTGTTATTTTAATGCTTGAGCTGGTGGGACTTTGGCATGGTGTGGCTTTTCTTTCCACCCTGTATAAAAGCCTTCAGGGTCCTTTACTGCCCTGGTGAGTCAGACTGTGGGCTCTTTGGAGCGGGCCAGTGGCTCATTCTGGGTCTGTGCAGCGCCCTGGGGCCTTGAGCTCAGCTGCTAAATAATAATCCCGTGTGTGTGTGTGTGCACAGACGCTGGGTGCCTTTCTGCGAGGGGGGGGGGGGGGCGGAGTTGGCGTGGCTCCGATAGGCTTGGTTATTTGAACGGCTCGATGAACAGGCCAGGGAGCGGCTGGTTGCGGGTCTCCTGCTGTCTCGCTGGAACGGGAAACGGCGCAGAAATTTTGCAAGCCAAATGTACGTTTTGTCCAAATGTCACATGTTGCCACGTGGCCCACGTACCCTGATTCCACGCAGAGCTGGTTAGACAACGTGTGTGTGTGTGTGTGTCTGACTGTCCAGGTGTGTGGCGTAGGGGCATGTATGTGTGTGTGTGTATAAGCATGTGTGTGTACATGTATGTGCTCATGTGTGTAGAGCTGTATGTCTGCATGGGCGTGTGCCCAAGGGCATGTATAGATGTGTGTGCAGTGTATGTGTGCGAGTGTATTTCTATGTCCGTGTGTAATATGTGCGTGCCCTTGAACATGGGCATGTGTCTCCATGTGTGTGTGTGCACATGTACCTGTGTGCCCATGTATGTGTGTGCATCCGTGTACCCATGTGCCTGTTCTGTTCATTCCCTCTGGGGCACCTGGCATTGGCCATGGTTGGAAGACAGGCTATGGGGCTTGAGGGACCCTTGGTCTGACCCAGTGCAGCCGTTCTAATGTGTGTGCATGCATGCATATATGTGTGTGCCCATGAGCGTGTGCCCATATGCATGTATGTGCCCGAGCATGTGTGCGTGCCCGTGGACATGTGTGTGTACGCATGAATCTGTGGGGACCTGTGTGTGTATATGTGTGCCCACATGCATGTGTGTGTGTTTCCACATATGTATATGTGTGTCCCCATGTGCATGTGTAAATGTGTGTGCATGTCTATGTGTGCCCGTGTGTGTGTGGATGTGTGTGTGCCCATGTGTGTCTCTGTATGTGAGTGTGTGTGTAACTGAGTGTGCCCATGTGTGTAGCTGTGTGCCAATGTGCGTGTGTATATCTGTGTGTGCCCATGCATGTATCTGTGTGTGCCAATGTGCGTGTGTATATCTGTTTGTGCCCATGCATGTGTCGATGCGTGTGCCTGTGTGAATTTGTGTGCACCCGTGTGGGTGTGTATCTGTGTGCGCCCATGTGCATCTGTTTGCGCCCGTGTGTGTTTGTAACTGTGTGTGTGTATCTGTGTGCACCCGTGTGCATCTGTGTGAGCCCATGTGCGTGTGTGCATGTGTGTGTGTATCTGTGTGTGCCCATGTGCATGTGTGTATCTGTGTGCGCCTGTGTGTATCTGTGTGTGCCCATGTGTGTGTTTGTATCTCTGTGTGTATCTGTGTGTGCCTGTACGCGTGTGTGTGGATTTTTGTGCCTGTGTAGCAGGGGAATCACAAAAATGCCACTGAGATTTTACCCTTTTTAAAAATCAAACTCTGAAATTCCTGCTACGATTTTCCGGGGCCCTCGGCTCAGTCCTGCCTTGGGCTGGGGGCTGTCGCCCTCTTGTGGCCAAAAGGCCCCAGGGCTGTACACCCTGAGAGTGGAGACGCCCAGCCTGGGGCCCTGGGGGAGGCGTTACCCCAAGGGGCTCTGTCCGGCGGGAGGTAACACAGCCAGGGCCTCACCCTCGCACTCCCGTTATGCTGCAGTTCACCAGCCCAGACTGCTGTGCCCCCCCGCCCCCGGGCTGTGTTTTGGGGGGTCCCTGTGCACGGGGGGCAGGGCACCCACCTGAGGCCTTAGTACGGCCGGTTGGCGTCTTTCGGTCGCTTGAGCTGCACTTTCAGGCGCTTCATGCCGATCTGGAAGCCGTTCATGGCCTGGATGGCAGCCTGGGCGCTGGCGGGATTGTCAAAACTTACGAACCCTGGGGAGGGGGTGGGGGGTGGGCGCCGGGGAGGGGTAGAGAGGCAGGGGGAGGGGAGGGAGGCAGAGAGAGGCAGAGAATGCTGAGTGGCCCTGGGAGACCCAACTAGCCCTTTGTTCACAGCTAGGGCAGTGCCCCCTTGGCCACTAAGCCACTGGCTCGGGGTGGGCAGCTCCGCACCCGGACTCTCAGCTTGGCACCAGGGCTGCGGTATGCCCAGCTGCCCTGTCCTTGCGGGCCGGGGAGCCCGGGATCTGCTCCCCGAGGCTCAGGTCTGGGGGCATCGATCGGTGGCAGGTAGAGGGTGCCTGACGCAGGGTTTGCTCCCTCATGCCAGCCACTGTGGGTGACAGGAGATGGGGCTAGGAGAGCCCTGGTCTGGGCAGATCCGCTAGGGAAGCCAGCTCAGCATCAGGCTCACCGTCAGCCCCTGTCTACACTCGGGGTTGCAACAATCCTTTGCCTGGGAGGTCGGCCCCTCGCCCCGGTGCCCATTGGCTGCTCCTGCTGCTCAGCGGGCCGGCCACTGGCCCACAATGCAGCAGGAAGGGGCTGGGAGACCCCATTGGCTGGCCTTACCGAAGCATTTGCTCTGATTGGTCGCCCGATCCACGAAAACTTTGGCAGAGATGACATTCCCAAAGGGCAGGAACATCTGCAGGATCTCGGAGTCAGTGAACTCCTGGGGCAGGTGGTAGATGAAGATGTTACAGCCCTCGGGGCCTGCGGGGAGGAGGCGGGTGAGAGTGGGCAGCTGCTCAGGACACTCCAGGCCCTGGGTTCCCTTAGATGCCCCCATGCTGGGCCCCCGTTCTAGATCCCCCACACACCGGGCCCCAGTTCTAGATCCCTCATGCTGGGCCCCCCTGTTCTAGATCCCACACGCTGGACCCCCTAGAGCCTTCTGCTCTGGACCTCCCATCCTGGACTCCTCTATACCCTTCACTCTAGATACCGCAGTCTGGACCCCCCCCCATTCCAGACTGTTCCAGATCCCTCGCTCTGGACTCCCTGTTCTAGACAACTCTATATCCTCTAACTGGACCCCCACATCCTTGACTCCTCTAGATCCCACTGCTCGGGACCCCTTTAGACCCAACAGTCTGGACCCCCATTCTGAACCCCTCATTCTGGCCTCCCCAGTGTGGACCCCTCTCGGTCCCCCTGCTCTGGACCCTGTGTTCTACACCACTCTAGATCCTCTCATTCTGGCCACCATTCTGGATCCCTGTTAATCCCCCATGCTCTGGACTCCCTCTGTGAAGTGGTGGGGTCCTCAGGGAAGATGTGGAGGTCCTGAGGTGCACAGTGAGGCAGGTCCTTGGTGACCCCAGGCCACATCTGCCCTCTCCCTATTGAGCAGCATTGGGGCAGGGCTCCTGGCAATAAGGGATGTCAGGGGCCCAGGGGCAGAGCTGGGGGTGGTTTCAGGGGGACAGGGCCTGGGGGAGTGGCGCCTAGTGGGTGCTGGGGGGGACATTGTTGGAGGGAGCGGTGCCTAGGGGGTGTTGGGGGGCAGTGACGGGGAGAAATTGGAGGGGGCAGCGGCTCCGGGCCCCACTTACCTTCCCGTTGCTGCTGCTGCTGGGGGGGCGGCTGCTGCGTGAGGATGGCCGGCTGCTGGGGGAAAGCCGGGCTCACCAGCCCGTAGGCAGCAGGGTAGGTGGCTGGGGCAGAGGCAAAGGAGGGCGTGAGCGACCCCTCGGCCTGGGCCTATGCGCCCCCAAGGGAAGGATCTGGGCCCAGGCCTGAGGCCCCCTCCCCCCATTGTTAGCCCAGCTCCCTTCCCCCACTGCTCCCCACTCCCCCTGTCCCCCCAGGTCCCTCCACCCGCAGGGAGCCCCCTCCTTACAGCCTCAGTCCCCCTGGCTGCCCCCCAGCCCCACAGCCCTGGGGGGTGAGGCCGTCACTGCCACGCCCTGGTGCTGCTCAGACCTGGCACCAGCGCCCGGGACGTCCCGCCATGCAGCTGCCTCCACCCCCCCAGCCCCCTCCCCGGCTCGGGGCCCCTTCCAGCCCCCCCCAGCCCCGGGGCCCCTTCCAGCCCCCCCCCAGCCCCGGGGCTCCTTCCAGCCCCCCCAGCCCCGGCACCACACCTGTGTAGTGCTGCATCCCGGCGTAGGCCTGCTGCAGGGGGTCCACGGGGGCGGCTGGGCTCTGAGCTGCGAGGGGAGACGAGAGGGGGAGGGGGTTACCCAGGGCTGAGCCGGGGTGGGGGTGGAGGGGAGCAGGCAGGGCAGGGGCGGGGCGCGAACCTGGGTACGGGTGGACCCCGTTGGTGTAGAGGGCCTCGGAGGCCGGCTGCCCCGTGGTCTGCGTGGGGACCGGGCTGTAGCCGTTGACACTGAGCGTGGCCGGGATGGCGGACACGGGGGTGGCGGCGATGGCAGGCGGCGTGCTGGTACCTGCGGGCGAGAGACGCGGTGGACGAGCGGGATGGGTTCGGGGCTCTCCCCCCCACCCGTGAGGAGATCCCGGCTTACCCACCCCCTGCCCCCTCTGCAGCCTGCCGCCCGGGGCGGGGGCTTTGCCCGTCCCGCAGACTCCCCGGCGTGGCCCCTCCTGGCCCGTGCCCGCCCTACCTGAGGAGGGGGTGAGGGGCGTGAGGGGCGTGGCGATGAGGCCGTTGGGGTTGATGGTGGCCATCTGCTGCATCTGGACGGCCGCCATGGTGGCCATGGGGTTGAGGTAGGCGGAGTGAGCAGCGACCAGGGCTGCCTGCTGCTGCATTAGCTGCGGGGGGAGAGAAAGAGACGGGGGGGGCGGGGGAGTCAGGGGGTGTCCGCTGGGCTGCTGGGGGGATGGGGGTCGGCCTGTCTGCAAGGGCACAAGGACCCGGGGGGGGGGAAACGATGTGCCCTGCTGTCCTGGCCCCCGCAGCTCTGCCGCTGCCCCTCAATCCTGACCCGCAGCCCCAGCTAGCCCAGCCCTGGGCTCCCCCCGTCCCCCAGCTCTGCCGCTGCCCCTCAATCCCGACCCGCAGCCCCAGCTAGCCCAGCCCTGGGCTCCCCCCGTCCCCCAGCTCTGCCGGTGCCCCTCAATCCCGACCCGCAGCCCCTTGCTGTCCCCGCCCTGGGCTTCCTCCCTCCTCCGTCTCTGCTGGTGCCCCTCAATCCCGACCCGCAGCCCCCTGCTGTCCCCGCGCTGGGTTCCCCCCATCCCCCAGCTCTGCCGGTGCCCCTCAATCCCGACCCGCAGCCTTGGCTCGCCCCCCATTCCCCTGCTGAGAGCCCAGAGCCCACATTGGCAAGGAGCCCCTTACTGCTTGGGTGTAGGCGCTGTAGGCCCCGAACTGCAGGGCAATGGGGCTGAACATGCCCAGCTGGCTGGCCACCTGCTGCATCCGGCGCAGGCCCCGCTCCTTCTCCGTGTCGGCGAATTTCACCACCAGGCTGGAGGAGGCGCCCTGGGAATGGAACCCCCCGCAAGGGGGCTAGTGAGACAAGCAGAGCACGGTGAACCCCCCGCCCCACCCCATCTGGCCCCTGCCCCCGCACTGCCTCAGCCAGCCGGCGTGACACCAGGCCCCAGCCCCTCCTGCAGCCTCCGCGCCTGGCAGCCTCCTGGGGAGCGTGTGGGGGGGCCAAGCTCCCCTCCTGTATCAAGTACCTGCTTCAACCCCCTCTGCCCATGCCCGGGATGATTTTAACCTTCCTCAGGACGTAGGGCCTAGTGGATAGAGCACTGGCCTAAGCTTCCAGACAGCAGGGTCTCTTCCCGTCTCTGCTGCTCGACGAGCTTGGGCAAGTCGCGGCCCTGCTCCATGCTTCGATTTCCCCACCCGTCGAATGGGGCAAATGATCCCAACCTCGTTTGCAAAAAGGGCTTTGGGGTCTACGCACGAGCATGGCTTGGGATCAGAGCGACTTGATCTGCCCGTCCTGCCAACGTTTTCGAGACTCTGAACAATGTTCTCCGCCCCGACTCGGGGTGAAAAGTTGAAAAGCTGGAACGTTTTTCTGAAGCGCCTAAGAAAAGTTCCTTTCGGGGCAGCCTGGACATTTGGTTTCTTTGATCGATGGGTTTCCAGCTCACTCCAACACGCTCACGCCGCAAACTCCAAAGTTGCCTCGACCCGGAAAATGGGCGTTTTTTCGTGGAACGTGGAAGAGGGACGTTCGGACGCTTCCCAAGCGTCGTTTACCCACGTAGAGAAATTGTTCCCAGTCCAGACGTTCCCACGGCAATGGAGTTGCCCTGTCGGCGTTTTTCAACTAAAAAAACGTTTTCTCGGAAGATTCCCGACTGACTCTCGAGGCTGCAGTGGCAAGCTCGCTCCATCAGGGGGCAGAAGAGCCTCAGGCAGCATCCTTGCCCCCTGCCCTGGTGCTGAGCTGGGTCCCTTCCAGGTGGCAAGTCTGGGGGGGGAGCTGAGATTTGGAGCTGCCCACATGAGAGGGTGCGAGAGGCAGAGGGGGCTGGAGATCCTTGGACAGGCAGACAGGGTCGTGCTGCCCCGCTGGACCCATGCCTGGGTGCTCGCTGACTGCCCGATTGAGGCTGCAGGGCGGATCAAAGGCCTGGAGGCACGAAGGCCCTGTGGGGTCCACGCAGCCCGTGCCCCTCGGAGTCCCCAAAGGATGGGGGTGTTGGAGCAGGAAGGGCCTGGGGGCTGTCTAACATTCCCAGCCTGGGCAGACAGACTTGCGCTAGCCAGGCTTCAGCTCAGCTGGCACGCTGGGGCGGCGATTCAGGCTCTGGAGCCCCCCCCGGCCCCCTGGCTCTGAGCTTGGGCGCCGGGAGCCTGCGTCTCTGCCAGAGCCGCAGCCTCCACCTGGCTGGCAGCACGCTGGCTTGGGCCACGCTGGCGTGAGTCCGTCCACCCAGGCGGGCTGGCTCCCAGCTGCAGGGTAGATGGGCCCTGTGCGTTCCCAGGATGCTGCCCAGGAGCCCGGCCCTGTCCCCTCGGACAGACAGACAGACCCGGCATTGTTGTCCGACACGTGGTGGGGGAAGGGCTCAGAGGAGCCTGGATCTAACCCTGCAGTGTCTCAGTGGGCAGGGGGACCACGAGCACCCAGGGAGGCCCAGCTGGGTTGATGAGTGCCCGGGGAGGGGAGGGTCCAGACGGGTCAGTGAGTGCCCAGGGGGTCCAGCCGGGTGAGTGAGTGCCTGGGGGGCTGGGGGGCAGCCAGGTCGTGAGTGCCCAGCATCTGCCCTGGGAGAGGAGGGGTCTGGGAGCCGAGTCTAATGCCGAGCTCCCACTGAGGGCCATGCCAGGAATCGCCCCCTCTCAGCCTGCCCCCCACCCCCCCGATTGCCAGCATGCCTTACGGGCAATGTCCGGCTGCCGTGCAGCGTGTTGATGGCGGCCTGAGCCTCGGCGTGGGCCTGGAACTTCACGAAGGCACAGCCTGTGGGGAGAGAGAGTCAGTGCCGTCGGGGGTGTGGGGGGGTGTGGCAGGGCCTGAGTGCACACAGATACCCCGAGTGCACCCCCCTGAACGCATGCAGAGACCCCGAGTGCACCCCTCCAAGTGCACACAGACACCCCAAATGCACCCCCCTGAACGCACGCAGACACCCTGAGTGCACCCCTCCAAGTGCACACAGACACCCCGAATGCACCCCCCTGAACGCACGCAGACACCCTGAGTGCCCCCCCCTGAGTGCACATGGATACCCCGAATGCACCCCCCCGAGCGCACCCCCAGGAACGCATACAGACACCCCAAGTGCAACCCCTGAGCGCACACAGACACCCCGAGTGCACACATGCTCACAGCCCTGCCCTCCTCCGCCCCCCGAGCCAGGCACCCCTGTACAAATGTGCCCTCCCCTGTGTCCACCCATGAAGCACACAGCCACGCCCGCCCGCCCCCCAACGCTGGCAGGGCCCCTCTTAGCCCTGCATGCTTGGCCCTGTCCAGCCCCCTTCGCCCCTGGAGCAGGGCCCAGCTGTGCAGCAGGCAGGGGTGACGGGCGAGCAGCCAGGGAGCGTCACCCGGGACAGCTGCAGGGCCTGGGGTGGGAGGGAGGGATAACATGGGAGAAACGAGCAGGAGCCCTCAGGCCACCTGGTGGCCAAATTGCCTCTTCCCTGCAGCACAGCACCCCCTACTGCGCCCCCCACCCTGCTGCTGCAGCACAGCGCCCCCTACTGCGCCCCCACCCCGCTCCCTGCTATGGGGGCAGGGCCAGCGGCAGGGGCCCGGGAGTGGTACCTACCTTTGCTGGTGCCGTCTGGCCCCCGCAGCACTGTGCACTCATCAATGTTCCCAAAGGGCTCGAACATTTTCCTGACGTCCTCGTCTGTCTGCTGCTTGCCCAGCATCCCCACAAACAGCTTCCGGTCTTCTGGCAGGGAAGAGGCAGTGCTCAGTGGGGAGGGGGCCCATTCGCCCCCCACCCTGCCCTGCCCGGGAGCACAGGGAGCCTGGGGCGGGGGTGTTGGTCACAGAGCATGGTGCTGAGGGCCAGATGCCTCCTCTCACCCCATCAACTCGGCCCAGGCTGGGATCACGGACTGCAGGACCCAACCACTAGGTTGATGATGGGCAGGCCCCGGGGGTCCTGGATGGGGGGGTATGTCTGTAGTGGGCACTGGAGAACATCTCAGCTACGCTTGGCTGGATCTTTCTACCCCTTGGGCCTAGGCTGCCGATCCGTCCACCTGTCCTTAGTTAGCTCTTTCTCTCCAGACCCTGCTCTGTTTGTCTGTCCCTATCCTTAGATGCTAGAATGCTAATCTGTCTGTCTTTCTGTCTCCCTAGATCCTGGCTGATCTATCTATGTATGTATCCATCCCCTCCATATCTATCTATCTATCTATCTATCTATCTATCTATCTATCTATCTATCTATCTATCTCCATACACCCCCTCTATCTATCTATCTAGCCAGCCCCCTGGTATCTGCAGGGAGCACTGTTTGCCCTGCCCAGTATTAATCTGATGTCACAAGAGACCAGGGTAGGGAAAGCCCCAGTCAGAAATCCTGGGAATGTGAAGGGGGGACTATTGGAAGACCCCCCCCATCTGATCCTAGCTTTGCTCCCCAGAGACTGGGAGGCCCGGGGTCAATGCTGGAAGTGTGTGTGGGGGGTCCTGTCGGGGCAGGGAATTACCCCTTTGTTCTGGTGGGGGTTTAGCCAGGGGTAGCTGGGGTTCCAGGGCAGCCCTGCCCCCTCCCCACGCCCGGCGGGTACCTCCTCTGCTTTCGCTGTCTGCTGGCTTCACCTGGATCGGCCGGTTCATCTGCAAGGGGGAGAGAAAGAAGAAACATTGAGGACGCGTGCAGGCAGCCCCTGGCGCTCAGAGAGCAGGGCGCCCCCGCTGGAGATGGAACCATCCAGCAGCCAGACCCCACCCACCCCCCAACAACGAGGCATGATTCCTTCGTAGGGAGAGAGAGAGCCTTATCCCATCATACAGAGGGGAAACTGAGGCACAGGGTGTGTCTGTGAGGGTGAGTCCTGGGTCCCCTTTATTTAGTGTGGATTTGATCCAGTGCGAGGTGCACAGGTGACACCCGGGAGAGCCAGGCCTGCACAGCACAGGGCCAGTTTCCCTACCTATTGCCACAGCCCTGCCCAGGAGGGTCCCACCCTGGGCCCCAAGGACAGCTCGGTTTGTAGCCAGCTCAGGAGTGACCTCTCTGCGGTGCCTGCCAGCCAAGCGCCTGTCCCTGGCTACTCACCAAACAGCCAGGGTTGCAACTGAACTGGGGGCAATGGCCCCGTGTCCCATTTCCCAAAGCACCCAGTCTCCTGCCCTGGGGCTGGATCAGAGCCGGAGCCCCCTGGAGGGGAAAGGCCCCATGTCCCATTCCCAGCCCCCTGGAGCCAGCCAGTCCCTGCAACCTGGGGCCAGATCTATCCTGGTCACCTAGTGGGGAAAGGCTCCAGAGCTGGCCTGGCCTGGCTGGACACAAGCTGGTGGGGGAAGGAGTAGCCAGCAGAAACCACTGACACCCCCAAACCCAGTGTCAAAGACCCCCCTCCCCGGCTCCCTGCAGGAACACTGGCTCCACCCCGTGCCCTGCAGCCCCGTGACCCCTAGAGCCGTGCTTGGGCTTTGGGTCCAGCGCTGACTGGGAGGGGAGAACGCCTCCTGCCGAGCCCTCCACCATGCTCCCTCCTGGCGCAAAGCCAGCCGGCAAGGGGAGGGTTAATGCAGAGCCATGAGATTAACTCAGCAGGTCGCTGGGACAGTTCTGTAAAAGCATCTGTAATCATATTAAAGGAAAGCAGCAGCTTGGAGGGGAGGCAGCCCCCCCGCCCCTCCGACTACATGGCAATATCGTAACCTCCCCCCCGCAGCAGCTAGGGTGACTAGATAGCAAGTGTGAAAAATCAGGACACCTTTTTCCGGGGTGCTGGTGGTGGTAGAGTTGCATATATAAGACACAGCCCTTACTAAAGGGATGCCTGGTCGCCCCAAGAGCACCGCCTGGAGCAAGGGGATCTGGGAAGAGAGACACCCCACAGGCAGAAGCCGGGGAGCAACTGCGCCAGCAAAACCCCAGGGGTGACCGTCATCTCCAGATGCTGGGAAGTTTGGGGGTCCCGGTCCTGATCTGAGCAGGTCGATCCCGAAGGTAGGTGGGCGCCATGACCAGGCAGGGGAGCAGCCAAAGGCATGGGAAGGGAAGAATGGAACCCAGACGTCCTGGCTCTCAGTCCAGCAGCCCGTGCCCTGGCCTGCCCCTTTCTCCCCACGCTCCTGGCAGTTCAGCCTTCCATGGAGGTGACTGGTGATCACCTTTGAGAGAGAGATTGAGGCCCAATTGACAATACGCCAGGAGCTGGGGGGCTTCAAAACGAGGCCACATTGAAACCGTAGGGGTGCGAGTCTGTTCAGACAGGTGTCAATCAGGGCTAGCCCCTTGGTCTGGGCCGGTCACCATGGCAGCCGAGCGCCTCACCATCTTTCCTGTATTGACCCTCCCAGCACCCCTGAGAGGCAGGCCAGGGCTCTTATCCCCAGTGTACAGATGGGGAAACTGAGGTGTCAGTAGTTCGCTGCCTCACCCGATGGACTTTTGAGGATCTGGCCCAAGGTCACACAGGGAGTGCGTGGGACAGCAAGGATCTGAACACAGGGCTCACAATAGCTCTAACCACTGGGCCATTTTTCCTCCCATCCATCCTTCCCTAAGGCATTGGGCCGGATCCCCAGTGGCCTCCACTGACTTCAATGCAGCGACACCAGCTGACAGTGGCCCCAGCCCCCCATTTACCTGGACCCACGTGCAGTCCCAGCGCTGCCCCGCTGACTGACCACAGGGCTGGTGTGAGCAGAAACACAACTTATCCGGAAGATCAATAAGAAAAAGGCTCCGGAGGGCACCTGTGCTTATCGATCCCGCGCTCCCAGTCTGATCACCGGCATGGGCAGGCAGAGGCATTGCCAGGATGCCAGCGTGGCTATTTGGCCCCATGCTGGGGCTGGGGGATGGGGACTGAAGGCCGCGGGAGGCGATGCCAGATGCTGCAGTATCCCAGTGCCCTTTGATGCAGCTGGCATGTCTGGCAGGGCATTGCCCACCCACTCTGCCTGCTCTTTGCACCTTGTGTCTCTCCGGGGAGGGCATACATGGTGGGCGGGGATGGGGGGGCACAAATCCCACCCAATCAGTGTAATTAAAGCCCTGCTCATTGTCCATTGGATCAATTATTACTAAGATACTGAGCTCTATTGATCAGGCAGAGATGGCGCAGGGTGTGTATGTGACACCCCAGCAGGGCTGCACCCCCTTCCCTTCATCCTGCTCGGTCGGCCTCCCCAGCAAAAGGGCTGAATCTAGCTTCAAAGCAAATGCTGTCTCACCAGCCGGCCCAGCGCAGGCTAGACCTGGGCTGTCTGGCAACCTCACCCCCAAGCCCTTTTCAGATCAGCCGGGCTATTTATCTGCCTGCTGGCTCTAACTGTCTGTGGGATCCACCTCTCCCTGTCATATCTGTCCATCTCGTCATCCATCCATCTCCCCACCTATCCATCCACCTGTCCTTCCAGCCAATCCATAACTGTCCATCCAGCCGCTAATCTGATCTCTTCAGCCATCCATCTCAAAGGCACATATCTCCCTGCGAAGTGTCTAGCCAGAGATCCCGGCCCCCTGCCCAGACACGTCTCACAAGCGGCCTGTCACTCACTGCTGTTTTAGGAGCAGGTAACCCCTCGGACGCACCCCCCTGCCCGCCTGGCAAGAGAAAACACACCCCAGTTCCCCAGCGCTGCATCTTCCTCCACGTCCTCCCGCCTTGCTTTGTTGCCAGGTTATCTCTGGTTGCCACAGCAACCGGTGCAGCATGGGGACCGCTTTTTCCTCTCGTGGTAAAAAAACAACAGGGCCTGGCAGCATCCCAAGGAGCTGGGCCTTTTCAGAGTGGCGTGGCGCCCTGAGCCGGGCATGCAGGCTGGCAACTGGGCACACAGGCCGGCAGACGGGCCCAGCCCACAGCGGGGCAGCGCCCCTGAGTTTTCAGCCCCTTTAGTGCATCGGGAAAATGGTCCTGGCAAGACAGACCAAGAGATCAAAGGTCTCGGCTTATGCCTAACCAGGGCGAGGTTCCCAGGCCCCCGTTCGATCCCAGCCTTGCTCCACCTTGAGGGGGCAAGAGGGGAGCTTGGTGACCCCCGAAGCTCTCTGGACATGTCTTTCTTTATTCGAATATGCATGACGGTAGCATCCAGATGCCCCAGCTGAGCACAGCCCCTCCCCAAAAGAGCTTGCAGCCTGAATAGACAAGGGGAAACTGAGGCACAGAGGGGGCTGGGACTTGCGCACAGTCACCCAGCAGAGGTGGGAATAGCAGCCAGCTCTCTGAAGTGCCAGGGACATGCCCTAACCACTAGGCCACACCACACTCCCTCCTGAAACTGGGGTGAAGGGGAACCAGACAGAGACAGGCCCACAATGCCCATTTCACCAGGGCTGGCACCACTGCCCTGGGCTGGATTTGAACCGGCACCCTAGAGGGCAAAGGCTCCTATTGACAGAGTCCCGCTCTGCGTTCGGCCCCTGTGCTAGATCCCCGGGGGCCCAGCTATTAACCCCCACAGCAACTGGCGGCGCCAGCAGGGGAGACGTGGGAGCTGGCGGGGCGCACTGGGGAGGGGGTGACCCCACTGTACGCAGGGAGCACGCGTGGCTGGCAGAAGTGGGGGGTGAGGGCGGGGGGGACAAAGGGCCATGGACTCATCTCCTGGGAAAGGGGAGACAGCCCAAGAGAACAGCACCAGGGACTGCAACACAGCTGCTGCTCCTCGGGAGAAATGGCTGTCTCTGCTGCTCTCCCCCAGGCAGGGTTTGGCTCCTCTGGGGTGGAGCAGCTGTTTATACAGAGAGCACAGGGCCCAGTGCTGAGATGCAGCCACCTCTGGGGTGGGGGTGGGGCGGCTGTTTATACAGGGAGCCCTTACCCATGATAACACCCTTGTGGCTGGGATGTGGCCACCCCACCATGCCAACCACCAGCCCCAGTGAAGCACTGCAGGGTTATGCTCTACGGCGCATGGGGAGCCCCATAGAGACTTGAGCTAGCCAGGCCTCAAGCAGCCAGCCAAAACCCCCACTCCTGGTGCTCACAGAGACTGACTACGGGTAAGGCATTGGAGATGGATGTCTCTGGAGGTGAGGGCTGGGGGGAGACGTGGGCCGGTGCTATCCAGCCGGCCTTGTCCCCCAGCGCTGGGGCCGCTGATGGCTTTGGCAGGACGTGGACATCCACCACCAGAACACTGCCGGCAGGGGCTGGTGCTGCCCCCCCGGGAGCTACTCCCAGCGCCTGGGTCGGATTGTGGCTGTACATCCGGGCAAGTCAGCTAGGTCGCAGGCCCTAAGCCCCATTGCACGGCAGGGAATCGCGCCCCATCCTGGCAGCTCAGCCACGCTGCTTTTTGCACCCCCCCTGCCAAAACCAAAGCTTTTGGAGCTCTGCACGAGCAAATCTCTGCAGGCCGGCATTGTGGGGCGCAGCTAAAGGGGGTAGGGCAGTGGGGTGGGGGGGCACGTGATCCTCCATAGCAGGTGCTCTTGGCATGAATCAGCTGATTAGCCGGGGGGCTTTACAATGAGCCGGGAACTCGGGGGCTGACAAGGAAGGAGAATTAATTGCAATAACCAGGGATACCCCTGCTCAAGCGTCTCACGTCACCGGGAAGGCTCAAGGCCCGGGCTGGGGTTTTGGGGAGCCCTCCCCACCCCGCGAGCCGCGTCGCTTTCTGCGTCCATGACAAAGTCGTCGCAACCT